ACGGTGACGCGCAAGGGGCTGGTGGTGGACGACTCGGCCGTGGCGGTGCTGCTGGCGCGGCTGTCGGAGTCGGCGGGCACGGACACGCAGTGCGAGCTGTGCGGCCGCGTGCTCTCCAACAAGAAGCGCCTCCGCGGCCACCTCATGCAGCACGTGACGACCAAGCCGCGGCCCTACGCGTGCCCGCTTTGCGACATCTCGTTCCTCGAATACAGCTCGCTCTACCGCCACATGAAGGGGCAGCACAAGGACGCCACGCCGTACGCGTGTCTGACCTGCGGCAAGAGCTTCGCGCTGCCCTCCGAGCTCAAGAACCACTCCAAGCTGCACAGCGACCGCGGTGGCCTGCACATGTGCACCCAGTGCGGCAAGACGTTCGCCGTGGAGGGCAACCTCCAGTGGCACTACAGCACGGTGCACAGCGGGTCCGCCGCGCACACCGTGGGCTAGTTATGTTGAAAATGGGAATAAAGTGATTTGGAGCGGACGGAGTGGACTGCTTTGTTTTTCCGTCCTTTATCCATTTGCAGTGTGCCGTCCGTGCGCGGATTCCTTTGGTTTTGTGCCTAGCGCGGGGGGTGTTGCCAAGTCTGTTTTCCGGTCGTCCGGACCCCTTTCTGACGCTCTTCTTGTTGCAGGCGTCGCCCACTTCCTGCGCGCGCAGGGCACGGAGGTGTGGGTGGAGCCCACCGAGCGGCCCGAAGGTTCCCCGCGCCGCTCTGCCTCCGCGCCCCCCGCTTCGCCGCACCAGGACGTCGAGGACGTGGAGGAGGTCGTCGAGTCCCCGCACGGCATCATCGAGGTGAGCATGGACGACCTGGAGGAGAGCGGCGTCCTGGAGTCACTGGTGAAGACCGAGTCCATCGAGGACCTGGACGGCCTGGACGGCCTGGACGGCCTGGACGCAGACCTGGAGGCGGCCATCGAGGCGGACGTGGAGCTGGAGGTGGACGAGGGCGGCGTCGCCGGCACGGCGAGCAAGCCGCGCGGCGGCAGCAAGAAGCGGACGTACCGGTGCCGGGTCTGCGGGCTCAACGTGGGCTCCATGTCCGCGCTGCAGCGCCACATCGTGGTGCACACGGACGAGGAGCGCAAGCGGCAGCCCTTCGCCCGCCAGTGCGGCCAGTGCGGCCGCGTGCTGTCCTCGCGCCAGCGCCTCGAGTCGCACCTGCAGGCCGTGCACTTCATCGGGCAGAAGAAGCCGCCGCGCTACGTGCGCCGCCAGAGCGGCTGCCCCGTGTGCGGCAAGATGCTGTCGTCCCAGCAGCGCGTGCGCTCGCACATGGCCACGCACTTCCGCGACGGCGACTACGACCCCCTGGACTTCGCCCTGGGCAGTCCTCCCCCCGCCGCGCCCACCACGCCCACGCCCGCCGCCCCCTCCCCCCCGCCCCCCACGCCGCCCTCGCCGCCGCCCCTCACTCCGCCCCCGCGGGATGCTCCCTAGGTGGGTCTGTTGGGACTGTGACGTTGACTTGCACGACGAGTCCGGATGAGTCCGAGCGCCACGTTGGCTGTTTGCGGTGTGCTCGCACCTCGTGGGCTCATTGCCACCTGACTTTGTGATCGATAGTCTGTGCCTTCTAGTGTTGTACTATGTTAGGGTGCTTGTTGTCAGATCCTGTTGACATTCTGATACAAACTGATATGTCAACACTAAAAAAAATTGCTAGTTCTGCTATCTTTTGTGTCATTTCATGTATTGTAAATGTTTGTATTCTTATCTACATTTGCTGCGCAAGTGTTTTCGAGTAAATGTTTCAGCGAGTCGCGATTCGACATTGTTACTATTTGCCTGGTTAGGGTAGATTTTCTTGGTTGCTATTGTTTGTAATATGTGCTTTAATTTGTAAATATAATGGAATTGTGAAATGTGTAGTGATTTTTGCAAGTGCGTTTTATTTTTCAGAATGATTTTTATTTGTCCTAAGAAAATATTGTATATTGTGCGCGTTTCTTTCCTAACTAACAATAAACGTTTTCGATTTGGTCACTCACCCGTTCTTGCCGATTCAACACCTATTAAGCTTACAGTCCCGTCCCTGTCCCAGGAACACGCTTTTGCTACGTTACCCGCCTGTGCCGTCGCTCTGGCTAACATTGTGCTTCTCTTCCGCAGACGGCCATTGGTCGGCGTGGGGGCCCAAGGCCGACGCCGGCGTGGTGGGCTTGGACTACCACCAGCAGTGGCCGCAGCAGCCGGCACCGCGTGCGCCGCGCGCCTCCGCCAGCGCGTCCGCCGCGTCCGGCGCCAACCCGTTCCAGTGCTCGCACTGCGGCAAGGTGCTGTCGAACCGCACCTCCCTCAACGTGCACGTGCGCTCGCATACGGGCGAGCGGCCGTACCGCTGCACCGTGTGCCCCGCCGCCTTCACGGACTTGAGCAACTGGCGCCGCCACCGCGTGGTGCACACCAAGGCCAAGCGCTACCAGTGCGACGTGTGCCAGGCGCGCTTCTCCCAGAGCGGCAACCTGCGCATGCATGTCCGCAAGCACCACCCGGAACTCTGTTGAGCCCGAATCGCGCCGGCCAGTGGGAACGGTCAGACAGTCTGTCCGAACGCGTTCTGATTGGCCGGCCGGTTCCGCCTCATGCGCCTGTCTCCAGGCTGCCCTTCATGTCGCGCAGGGTCGCCGCGGTCCGGTACTGCGGACGTGTGCGCGCCGGTTAGGCCGCCTTGGGAGAAGGGCGCGTGGCGCTGCGCGCGGCGCGGGGCTGTCGTTTGACGTTGCCGCTCGTCGCGGGGCCTCGGAAAGGCTGGCCGGGCCTATAAGGCCCCTTGCGGCTCCTCCCTCCCGCGTGTCCCGGTGCTTGCGGCGTGCCTGACGCGCCTTGCCGCTCTACGAGGGAAGCGCTCCCGGCCCGGCTTCCCCGCGGACCTGTCTTTGCTGTTTGTACTTTGTAGAACGTGTCGCCCAAATTAAATGTGTTTGACTCTCCACTGTGCGTGTCGTCCTTTGCCTCTGCCTTCCCTCACCCTGAGCCGTGCTCGGCTTCGCCCAGTAGACTGGTTCCGAGAGTCGTTGTCGTCGCTTCGGGATGCCCCATGAGTGCAAGAGAGACGAAACGACTCTCTGAATCAGTCTGCTGCCCGTTCTGATGGCCTTTGTCGTTTTGCAGACGCGCACCAGTGCCAGTTCTGCGGCAAGGTGCTGAGCAGCAGCTGGAGCCGGCAGCAGCACGAGAAGACGACCCACACGGGCGAGCAGCACTTCCGCTGCCACTGCTGCGAGCGCGCCTTCAGCACCGCGTACCGCCTCAAGCGCCACATGAGCGCGCACACGACGGAGCGGCCGCACCGCTGCCACTGCGGCGCCAGCTTCACGCTGCTCACGTCCTTCCAGCGCCACATGCGCGGCCACCTGGACGACCGGCCACACGCCTGCACCCTGTGCGACAAGCGCTTCATCGAGCCCTACAAGCTCAAGAAGCACATGCTGGTGCACCAGAAGCGCTAGGCCGCCCTACCTTCCCGTTTGTTCGTGTTTGTTCGAGTGTTAATAAATTAGTTTTGTGTTGTGACTCAAGTGAATGTTGCTCCTTTTCTTCTCTTTCCCGTCATGCCACTGCTAATGGTTGTTGATGTCTCGCTCGTTCGAAGACAGGTGCCCCGGAGCAATGGCGTGAACAATGACTGCGTTTTGCAGGCGATGGCGGCCTTGGCGGCGGCCTTGGCGGCGGCTTGCAGTGCCCCGTGTGCTTCAAGACCTTCACGACGCGGTCCAACGCGCGCATCCACCTGCGGGCCGCGCACTCGGACGACCAGCCGTACCGCTGCGGCCTCTGCGGGCGCGCCTTCCGCTACAAGACCCAGCTGGTGCGGCACCAGCGCCACCACGCCCCGGACACGCAGTTCGCCTGCCCGCACTGCCAGGCCCGCTTCAACGACAAGAGCAGCTTCAACCGCCACGTGGCCCGCACGTGCAGCGCGCGCGGCCAGCGCGGCGCACGCGGCCAGCGCTTCTTGTAGTCGACCTTAATAAAATGGTTGTCAAGCAGTTGTGGCGTCTGTCCGTGTTGATGTTCCCCCGACGGTGTTGGTTGTGCGGCCTGCTGGAGAACCTGGAGCCCCTCCAGGGACAGCGCCTCTTGATGCGTGTCTCACAGTGCCCCTCTGCGCAGGTCGCGACGCGGGCCTGTTGCCGACGCCGGGGCGCTACCTGCTAGACGAGGAGTCGCAGCGGCTGATCCGCCTGGAGGACAACCAGTGCGACGTGTGCTTCAAGGTGCTGTCGTCGCGCAACTCCCTCAAGGTGCACTACCGCTGCCACACGGGCGAACGGCCCTTCCAGTGCGGCGAGTGCGAGATGGCCTTCGCCAAGAACGGCGACCTGGGACGCCACATGCTGACCCACACCAAGGCCAAGCCGTTCCCCTGCGTCGTCTGCGGCGTCGCCTTCCGGCAGCGCGCGCACCTCAAGCAGCACGCCAAGCGCCACTTTGTCGATGCCAACCAATAGACCAATAAATCTGTTCGCCAAAACGTCACTTGCGTATTCGTTACAGAGCGAACGGCGAAGGAAGCTGTCTGTGCTCGGTACGGTCCTGCTCGACGGACCCCTCGGCCCGCGCCTAACCCCGCCCCCCTGTTGCAGCGGAGCTGGACATGGTGGACGTGCTGGACGACATCCCGCTGGACAGCGACGAGCCGCTGCGCTGCGCCATGTGCCGCGTGCTCTTCTCGACGCCCAGCAACCTCAAGCGCCATCAGATGACGCACACGCGCGAGCGGCCCTACAAGTGCGACGAGTGCGGCATGGGCTTCTCGCGCACCGACTACCTGTCGCGCCACGTGCTGTCGCACTCGGAGCAGAAGCCGCTGGAGTGCGGGCTGTGCGGCCAGTGCTTCCGACAGAGCTCGCACCTCAAGCGCCACACGCGCAACCGGCACGCCCGGCACGCGCTGGGCGCCCCTCTAGGGGCCCCCGGCGCCGAGCGGGCCGCCTAGGCCGCCCACGCCGCCCGCATTTCGGACATGTTTTCAACGTTACCGGCTGGCTGGGGTAGGGCGGGGTAGGGTCAGGGTCAATCCAAAAAGGCCATGTTCTCCTGTGTCATTATTTATTTGTTTATTTATCAATGTATTTATTTATTTATTTCCTACTGTTTCTTACATTAGAATGAGAAACGCGAGTTGTCGGTTTTATCTTCGAACCGTGTCCGTTGTTATTTTTTTTGGGCACGTAGTAGACGACATAGGGTAGCCTCTGCAATAATAGTGTTTGTATTAATATAACCTATTGAGATGTTATCTTTCAACCTTTTTAAACTGACGAACGAACAGTCATTAGCGTGTTAAGAACAAGTAGTTCGAGTTGGTCTTCGTTGTTGGTTATGTCAAAGTAGTCGTCCCTTCAGTTAAGTTACGTGTTTGTTACTCGTAGCATCGCTGTGAATGCTGTTGCGGTTCTTGATGATGCCAATAAAACGAGTGTCGCAACAAAGCAACTGGTTGGTTCTGCTCCAGTCCCGTGGTGTGCCTGGCTGTGCCTGGCTGCCCCTGTCCGCCTTTTGTCTCGACGCGCCTAACGCACACCCGTCTGGTTCCGCAGCGCCGCTCACCCTGCCGCTGCTGCCCGCCCTGCCCGTGCTGCCCGCTCTGCCCGTGCTGCCGCCCATGCCGCTGCCGGGGCCCGCGGCGGCCAACCCCCTGCAGTGCAACACGTGCGGCGTGGTGCTGTCCTCCACCAGCAACCTCAAGAGGCACTTCATGACGCACACGGGCGAGCGCCCCTTCCGCTGCCAGGTGTGCGGCGTCACGTACACGCAGTCCAACAACCTCAAGAGGCACTACATGTTCACCCACGGCGGCCACGGCGGCCAGCAGAGCACCGCCGCCGCCAGCACTGCCTGCCAGGCGTCCAACCTGGGCACTCTGGGCCCCTAGCGTCCTTGTGATCTCCTCGCTGCACTGTACAAACATTTCTCTGCGTCGGTGCCCGCTCTGGATAACGAAATAAAATGCTGCTAATTTTGACTGTGCCTTCTAGAACGACCTCCTTCCTCCGATCGCCTCGAGCCAGGCAGACTGCTCACGTCGGGGCGCGCGCCGCACCGCGCCACGCCGTGTCACGCAGTGCCGTTGCTGACGATGCAATCCGTGCTGCTGCAGGTGCGTCGCTGCCGTTCGAGTCGTCGCAGTCGTACCACTGCCCCAGGTGCGGCAAGGGCTACCGCTGGCGCCAGAGCATGCTGAGCCACCAGCGCTTCGAGTGCGGCACGGAGCGCCGCTTCCTGTGCCCCTTCTGCCCGCACCGCGCCAAGCGCCGTCACCACCTCCAGAAGCACCTGGTCACCGTCCACCCCCAAGAGATGCAGCAGGGCGGGCGCTAGGCCTGCTGTCTCGCCGTTTGACGCGGGGCCCGTCTTCATGTCGCTGTTTGTTGCAGGATCCCTGTTTGACCCTAGGATGCCGCCCCCAGCGATGCTGCACCCGGGCATGATGCCCCAAGGGATGCTGCCCCAGGGGATGCTGCCCCAAGGCATGCTGGCGCCGTCCGCGCCGATGGGCGTGAGGCCGGCTGGCGAGGGCTGGTTCGTGCGCCGGGTCAGCCCCGTCAAGGAGGTGTTCGTGTGCAGCGACTGCGGCAACGAGTACCTGCACTACGCGTCGGTCCACAAGCACCGGCGGTTCGAGTGTGGCAAGGAGCCGCAGTTCCAGTGCTCGCTCTGTCCGCACCGCACCAAGCTCAAGAGCAACCTCACGAAGCACCTGAGGAACTCGCACAACTGGACTCCTTGATGTAGCGTGAACGTGAACGCGCCGAATGCCCCTGTCCAGCTCCAACTTGTCTCAGACGCAATAAATGGAATTGGTGTAACTGTCGCTCTGTGTGCCGTCCTCCGTCGCCCAGCCCACTCACCCACACACTCACAGACACGCGGAGTCGGCGACGCAGTGACCAACATGTCCTTGGTGTTTGCAGGAGCGGCTGATCCGTTCGTGTGCCCCAACTGCTGGAAGGCCTACAAGTACCGCAAGTCGCTGATGCGCCACCTGCGCTACGAGTGCAACATGGAGCCGCAGCAGTACTGCGCGCTGTGCCCCTACAAGGCCAAGCTGCGCTCCAACCTGATGCGGCACGTCCGCGAGAAGCACATGCCGGCCGACACCGCGTCCTAGGCCGTCCTAGGCCGTCCTAGCCTGTCATCTCTGTTACTAGTTTGAATAAATCGGTTTCCTTGGTTACAACCTGGTTTTTGCCCTTCTCCTCCCCACCACTGCCTGGCTGCTGCCGTCGCCCCTCCCAGTCTCACGCCTTGCCGTCTTGTTGCAGACTTCGCCTCCTCGTCGTTCGCCGTCTGGCAGCCGTCCGCTCTGCCGCCCGCCCTCGACGACTTGCCCGCCTCCCAGGTCCCCAACCCCAACTGCAGGTCCCACGCGTGCGAGGACTGCGGGAAGGTGAGTGTTGTGTCAGTGGCGGCCGGCCCGGTGGCCCAAGGGCGGCCCAGCGCGTCTGTCTCGCTAACGCAGCTAACGCGTGCGCCTCCCCGCAGGTGTACAGCCACGCCACCTCGCTGCGGAAGCACCGGCGCTACGAGTGCGGCAAGGAGCCGCAGTTCCAGTGCCCCTACTGCCCTCACCGCTCCAAGCTCCGCGGCAACCTCAAGAAGCACGTGCAGGAGCGCCACATGAAGATGCAACGCAACCGGCCCCGACACCACGCGCAGCACGCGCAGCACGCGCAGCACGACCAGCCCATGTTCTGAAAGAATCCACAGCACCTCCGTTTTACCTGTGCTTCGTTTAGTGTGTGTTAGCGGACAATAAAGCCCGAAGCTGATGACGTGGTGCTTTGATCTCACCGGCCGCTTTGCGCCCCCAGTCCCCTGCCGCCCCTGTGTGTGAACGCCGCTGACTCCTGCTGTCTGTGTGCCCAGGATGCTCCGCCTGGGCCTTGCCCACCCTGCCGCTCGCCGCGCCGGGCGTGCCGCCCCTGGACTTCCCCGCCGCCTTCGCGATGGCCCCGACGATGGCCGCGACGATGGCCGCGACGATGGCCGCGACGACGGCCGCGACGACGCCCGCCACCGCGACACGGCGGGCGGCGGCGCGCGAGGGGGGCTACCGCTGCGAGACGTGCGGCAAGACGTACAGCCACCAGCCGTCGCTGCGGAACCACAAGCGCTTCCAGTGCGGTGACAAGGAGCCGCAGTTCCAGTGCCCCTACTGCCCTCACCGCTCCAAGCTCAAGGGCAACCTCAAGAAGCACGTCCGCGAGATGCACAAGGATTTCCAGCCGAACCTGTAGACGTTCCTCGCCTCGCCGCTTGTGAAGCCTCGCGCCTCCACGGCCGTCTTTTGGTGTCGTTGTGGAAGCGCGGGACTTGTACGCTACCCTGTAGGTTTAGAGGTTCGGGCTGTATCATGTTTTGGCAATAAAACCGGCAGCTCTCAGGTGCGGTTTCGGTCCTGTTCCCCTTGACCCGCAGCCCCGCCGACGTCCACGCAGCCACTGCAGGTACAGTCAGGGAGTCCGCTTTGTCGCGTCTTAATCCGGCAACACCATGGCATTCACCGTAGTTGTCATAGCGTAGAATAGTCACCTCATTTTGCTCATTTATTTGCCTCGGCCCCTGCCAAGCTTCCTAGTGTAGTAGTCTTGCTTGCCTGCCGACACTGACGCTCGCCCTCCCTCTCTGTCGGCAGAGTGGCGCTACGAAGACGACTCCCAGGACGCCAAGGTGGACGTGAAGCCGCTGCTGCTGCTGCCGGCGTTGGCGCGGCCTCGCTCCACTTCCTCGTCGGCCACCTCGGTGATCCGCGGCCCGGTGGTGACGTCGCGCTGGGACTTGTCCTCGCCGCCCGTCGCGCCCTCCGCCTCCCCGACCCGCGAACCGTCGCGCATCGTGCTGCCCCGCACCGCGCGCACCGCGCTGCCCACCATCGACCTCACGCAGTTCCTCATGTGATACGAGTAGCTCCCTCGCGTCGTCGTCGTGCCCGGCCCGCGAGCGCGCGTCGGACGCCGAGGGAGTCGGGAGTCTGAGTCCGAGACAGATGTGTTGTTGAGTGCTTTGTTGATTGCTTGATTGCCTCGTCACTGTTTGACAAGGCGGAGGGTGTTTTTGTTTGTTGCTTGTTTGTTTGTTCGTTTTGGGTCGGTCAGAGCACCGATGGATGCCACAAAATGTGTTCACTACTTAAGGAATTTGTAAATATTTTATATGTTAAGGCTGTCGGATGCCGCACTACACTAAAGTAGAAAAAGTTATCCTATCGATTGTCTAGTCTAACTATTTGGAACCCTGATTTTTTCTAGATTTATTAGAATGTTGTCTGAGCAAAACACCAACATTTTTATTGACTACGTATTGTGTTAAGGTTTATAGTCTGAGCCATCGCGAAGGAAGAAATTACACATAGACTTTACGAGACCCTGAATTTTTTCTAGCATATTTATGAAAACTTTGTAACTGTGGAGCAATACTTTATCGTAATATTAATGAGACTCAAATATGTATACTCGTAGCGTTTTTAACATATTTTCCTTGGCATATTTGTACTCCAAATGTTGGTGTTCCAATTGAGTAAATAAAGCGTAAGGACTGAATTTTACTCTCGATCTCAACGCCCCACGCCTTGCCTGCCTCGCCCCGACCGCTGGGAGCATAAGCAATAGGCCAACAGGCGGGCCGGGTGGGCTGGCCTGGAGGCTGGCCTTCCTGGCAGGCTGAGCATCGGGCCGGAAGTCATGGGACGTTTGTTGTTGGCAGTGTACTTCGGGGACGGCGTTGCCAGCGCAGTGTTCCGGTGCCCCCGCTGCGGGAAGAGGTACCGCCACCGGCCGTCCCTCAACACCCACATGCGGCTGGAGTGCGGCAAGGAGCCTACCTTCCAGTGCCCCGAGTGCCCGCAGCGGACCAAGCGACGGTCCACCATGCTGCTGCACATGCGACGCCGCCACCCACGTTAGACTGAGTGTTGTGTTTGCTGCCCTGGTGAGTCTAACCTGGCCGGACCAGCGCGGCCTCGCGGGCTGGGCCCCGCGGCCCGGCCGCGCTGCGCCGTGCCCGATGGCACTGTCACCCCGCCCACCCGGCCCTCGGCCGCGGCCACGGCCCACCCGGTGCCCGCAGGGCCTAACGCGAAGCGTGTGTTGCAGAATGGCTGCTGGGCCCGCCGCTGCCCCTCGCTGGCCCCGCCACCCGGAGCGCCACCACCGGGTCGACCGGGCCGTCCACGTCGCTGCCGGCCATGGCGATGGCGACCATGGCGCTGGCACCCGCCACGCCGGGCCAACTCACCTACCCCTGCGCGCTGTGCGGCCAGGTGTACAAGCACCAGTCGTCGCTGTCCAAGCACCGTCGCTACGAGTGTGGCATCGAGCCCCAGTTCCAGTGCCCCTACTGCCCGCACCGTGCCAAGCGCAAGCAGCACCTGCAGCTGCACGTGGGCCGCCACCACCAGCCCATGGCGCCGCCTCTGCCCCAGCCCCTGCCCCAACCCTTGCCCCAGCCCTTGCCCCAGCCCCCCAGCGCGCAGTGACTTCGCGCGCCTCCCTTCGTGATAATTACTCGTGTTCCTGAACGTGACAAGGAGACACTTGTTGCGTATTCCAGTCATATTAATGTAAGGGGTAAAGACTCCTTGAGTTCAATTTTGTGTTTTGTTATCTTTGTGTTAATAAAGTGTTATTTTGTTATGCAAACATGAGACTGCTTCTTGCTTTGACTCGCCGGGCCACTAACTCGTTCTCTGCGCACTCTGCCCTATGTCTAACGCTGGCTGTGCTTTGCCCCCGTGACAGTGCCGCCGTGGATGCCCGTGGAGCCTGTGGTGGCCGCCATGGCCGGCCGCTACGTGTGCCCGGGCTGCGGCAACGTCTACAAGCACGGCCAGAGCCTGTGGAAGCACCGCAAGTTCGAGTGCGGCAAGGAGCCGTCCTTCTTCTGCCCGCACTGCCCGCACCAGTCCAAGCGCAAGCAGCACCTCGAGCTGCACATCACCCGGAAGCACCGCCAGCACCGCAGCCTCCTCTAGCTAGGCCCTCGTTCTTGTTGACAGTGCTGCTGCAATAAAGTGTTTTAATGTTCCGCAACGATGCGTGCGTTGTTCCGCGAAGCGACACCCCCGCCCTATCCCCTCCCTGCAGCGTACAGACAGCGTGAAACCATCTAACCAAGTGTCCGTCTCATCTCGCAGTGACCTTTTGGCCGTCGGCCGACCGGGCGTTCGGGCGGCAGGCCCTGGGCCACGGCCCGGGCCACGGCCTCGGCCATGGCGGTGCGCAGCTTGCGCAGCGCCACGTGTGCGACACGTGCGGCAACGTGTACAAGCACACGCAGAGCCTGTGGAAGCACCGGCGCTACGAGTGCGGCATGCAGCCCCAGTTCGGCTGCCCCTACTGCCCGCATCGCACCAAGCGGTCCGCGCACCTGCGCCGCCACGTCCACACCGTCCACCCCGGCCTCGCCGTGCCGCCCCCGCCGCCCCAAGCCGCGGCCCCGACGGTGGGGGCGCACAGCGCGCTCAGGCCGTGAGCCGCGTCGCCAGTGGCACGCAGGCCCCAGTGGCAGGAAGGGGCTCACAGTGTGGTGCTCAGGGCGGGCGTCGAGCTCGCCGGTTGGTTTGGTCAGCAGAGGTTTGGGTGTAAGCCCCACCGCGCCGCGCCCGCCGTATTGCGATGGCCCACTCGCTAACCGCCGTTTCCGTTGCAGATTGGTACGACCCCGCGGCCATGCCGGAGGAGCCCTTGGAACACGAACACCCCGGCGCGGCGCATGCGGCGACCTCGGCGCCCTTCACCTGCGCGACGTGCGGCAAGGCGTACCGCCACCAGCCCAGCCTGTGGAAGCACCGGAAGTACGAGTGCGGACAAGTGCCGCGGTTCGCCTGCCCGCTGTGCCCGCACCGCGCCAAGCGCAAGCACCACCTGGTGTACCACCTGCAGGCCAGGCACGGCGGCAAGCCCGCGTAACAAGCCGCGTAGTGCCCCGAGAAGCTCTGTTTGACTAGGCTAGCGCGCCTTGCTGAATAAATGAATGTTCCTCTTTTCCGGGAAGCCCCTGTTGTCGTTCTTTCCCTGCCACGCTGCGCTTCGACTGCTGGTTCGGCCTGGCGCGCCTGGGAGGTAGGCTGTCCCGCCAGCCTCCCGTGCGTTGCGGGCTGGCCCATGCTGCAGGCGCCCTCCCAACCCCCGCGCCAGCAGCCTCGCCAAGGCAACGCCGCTAACGCCTTTCCGACGCCCTTTTCCAGGATGGTCGCCGCTCCCTCGCCAGGGTCCGGGACTGACGCTGCACGGCCCGCCGTTCTCGTGTCCACGCTGCGGCCGCCAGTACCAGTACTCGACGTCCGTGCGCAACCACCTGCGCCTCGAGTGCGGCCAGGAGCCGCAGTTCCCCTGCACCATCTGCCCGTACCGCGGCCGCCGCAAGCACCACCGCGACAACCACATGCTTAGCATCCACAACGTGCGGCCCGCCGACTGGGCGGGGGGCCACTGAGATGCACTGAGGTCACGTGTCCTCCAAGCTCGGCAATCTGTCATGGTGAAAACAATGTATTCCGCCTTTCATGTCGAGAGTTTCAGTAAATAGACCGTGCCCATGTTTGGACCTGTACTTTCTTTCACCACCACCCCCCTTTTCCACCCCTTCCCCTTGTCTACAGTCTGGCTCGCAACACTCGGATCTCTAACCGTCTCTAACTCGCCATTGTTTTCAGATTGGAGGCCGCCTTCTGCCTGGGGCCACGAGCTGGCCATGCAGCAGGCCTGGATGCAACGCCGGCAGCTCGACCCAGTGGCGCCAGGGCCGCCAGGGCCGGCAGGGGCGTCCCCTCACAACGCCCCTCGCGACCTCTACGTGTGCACGCGCTGCGGCCGTACCTACAAGTTCCTACCCTCGCTGCGCAACCACCAGCGGCTGGAGTGTGGCAGGGAGCCCCAGTTCGCGTGCCCGCACTGCGTGTACCGCGCCAAGCGCAAGCACCACCTGGACAGCCACATTCGCACGCAGCACGCGCAGCAGCCGCACACCGCCTAGACCCCGCCCTGGCGACCCCGGTGACGTCGCATGAGTCTCATGTATGAGACATTCCCCTAGTGACTCGGCTCGGCCACTCCAGATCCCTGCCCGCGCACTGCGGCGCACTGCGCGCCCCGTTGCTGACTGGTTGTGTTCTTTGTGTGCAGATTGGCCGGCGTCCGACTTCCGCGACTGGCACTCAAACGGCCTGCCCGGCCTGCCGACCGCGTTCGGGACCTCCAAGCCGAGCTCGGCCGCGCCCAAGGCGCACACATGCCCGCGCTGCGGCCGCCAGTACAAGTACCTGCCCTCGCTGCGCAACCACATCAACCTGGAGTGCGGCATCGAGCCCAAGTTCGCCTGTCCGCACTGCGAGTACCGCGCGCGCCACAAGCACCACCTGTACGGCCACATGCGCACCAAGCACCAGCATGTGTAGCGATGCAGCGCTGGATCCAAGTGCCAAAGTTTCAACCGAGTCCTCTCCACTGTTATCCATATCCCTTTTTTCTCTCGCGGACTGTGTGTAATCGGCTTTAAAGGACAGTTAACAATAAAACTGTGTTCATCTCTACGTTGAGTTTGTTTTGGAAAACCCTGACCCGGGACGGTGTTTTCTCGCTTAGCCTCGGTGGTGGGTGCGGGTGTGTTCTGTGACAATTGCAAGGCTAATTTTCCTTTCGACAATCAAAACAATTGATGACATTGTTGTCACTCCCATGTGCGCCCATGCAATTACTAGGAGCTTTGATAAAAATGTCATCAATTTGTGATGAGATTGTTATGATTTGATAGTGATGAAAATATCATCTACGTTTCTGTCATGAAGTGACAATAAATTTTCAGTGTTGACTGCTGCTGTCGCGTGGTCGGTGTCCGAAGCCAGGGCCTGGCCGCCCTGCCGCCTGGCCTACGCGGTTGGCGGCGTTGGCGGCCTCAGCCCTTGACCGTGCCCTGCTTTGGCTTTGACAGGTGCCTACTCCCTGCGGGGTAGCGTCATGCTGGACGACAGGTGCCACGCCGCGCCCCGCTTCCGCTGTGAGCAGTGCGGCAAGGCGTACATCTGGCCCCGGGGGCTGCGCGAGCACCAGCGCTACGAGTGTGGCAAGGAGCCGCAGCACCAGTGCCCCCAGCCCGGGTGCTCGCTGCGCTTCAAGCTCCGGAGCAACCTGAGGCGGCACCTTCGGCGCCAGCACAACCTGGACGTGCCCATGATGCACAGGGGCCACAACGGCCGCAGCAGGAGGCTGGCCATGGCCGCCGCCAGCGCAGCCAGCGCCCAGAACCCTCGGCGCTAGCGGACCGTGGCGGACTCATCACGCACCAGGTCACTTTGACGGTGGGTGTCAAGCCAGACGTACTTATTATCTTCTAAATGAATGTGATGAGAATATTTTAGTCGTATTCTCTTGTTCTCCTCGCGTATCAATATTCAAATCATTTTCATAACTTGCCGAGCCATGTGTTAAAAACAATGTTGGTAACGTGCGACTCCGTGTGTAACACTTTGCTGTCCGTCACGGCAGGCTAGAGCCCCTTCGAGGGCACGGCGGTCCGGAACGCGGCTGCCGTTCGGCGTGCTCGCCAGTTCGCCAGACGCCCTGCAGTCCTGGCAGTCCCTGCTCCAACGCCTCGCGGCCCCACCAAGAGCGGCAGCATCGGCTGGCCTCTGCGTAACACTCGTCGGAATTCAAGCAACTTCCCTCCATCGTCAGCCATGCAGCTACGCGCCCTCTGGCTGCTGCCTTTACCATTCACAAATCGCTGTACATTTCCGAGATAATAAATGTGCTAAACCGATCAATTTGAATCTGTGTCCAACCGGGTTTGAGGCAGTCCCGCTTCCTTGGTGAGGGAGACTCGGCGAAAGATGGCGAAGTTTGTTCCGTCGCTAATTGGGGATTGCGTTCCAGGCTGGAGTCTCCAGGGCGGCTACTGCGACGCGGCGGCCTTCCAGGACACGCTCTCCCGTGGCGGCGCCCTTGCCGGCCCTGGCGCCGTCCGCGAGAAGTTCGCGTGCCAGTCGTGCGGCAAGGGGTACCTGCACCGGTCCTCGCTGGCGCACCACACGCGCTACGAGTGCGGCAAGGAGCCGCAGTTCGCCTGCCCGCACTGCCCGCACCGCTGCAAGAGGAAGGGCAACTTCCGCCGCCACCTGCTCACCCACATGAATAACGCGTCTTGATCAGAAATGTATTTTTTTGTTATTAAATGTCTGCAAACTGTTGATACCGTTTCGTATGTTTTGACAACGACTGCCCGCCCCCTCCCCGACACCAACTTCCGGCTGTTGGTGCTGTCTGCTTACACTCACCACAACTGTCTCCTGTTACAGTGGCGTTTCCGGGCGGGCACGGCGTCACACAGGCCGAGTCGCTTCCCCAGGGCGGACTGGGCCACGGCTACCTTGGGCAAGAGCAGGCGGCCGCGTGGGGCTGCGCGATGGCGCCGGGTCTCGGCCCTGGCCACGGCCCTGGCCTCCCGCCGCATCCGCCTCCGGCCGAGCCCTCTGCCTGGCACCACTGCTGGGCCTGCCCTTACCAGACCCGGTTCCGCAGCAACCTCCACCGCCACGTCAGGATGCTCCACGGTGCCTTCTTGCCCAAACTGGCACCGGGGCGCAAGTCCAAGTTCTCGCTGGGCGCGGCGCCAGGCGAGCCCCGCGCGCCACCCTAGTCGCGCCATGGCCGCGTCGCCGTCTTTGGTCAGCAATAAACGTGGAGTAGCGTTCCTGGCGCAGCCTATCACGTTCCCAGCCCATCAAGCCCACCCCCTTTGTCCCCGACGACCCCGCGCGCACCGCCACCCCTCGGTCCTGGGGCTGCCTTGCGACGTCTTGCGACCACTGACTGCTTCTCTCTGCCCGCACAGGTACGGGCTGGCCGATGGCCCCGCCGCCCGCGCCGCCACGCTACGGCCCGCCGGGCCCGCCCCTCGGACCCCCGCCGGCCCGGCCCTATCGCTGCGAGGACTGCGGCAAGACGTACCAAGTCCGCCGCTCCCTGGGGAACCACCGACGCTACGAGTGCGGCAAGGAGCCCGTGCTGCAATGCGCCTACTGCCCGCACCGCTCCAAGCTCAAGGGCAACCTCAAGAAGCACATGGTGGAATGCCGTAGCCGCGCCAACCGTGGCCGCGTTACGTCCTTCTCAGGCTGGAACAATTGAGATGAAAATAAACTTGAAATCTGATTGCATTAATTGGTTGTGTTTCTGGCCTTCTCCGACCCACCCCCAGGACACCAGCCTCGCCGCCGCTCGTGAGACTTCATGGCACTCTCTCTTTGTCTGCCACGCAGGCTCTGCAGGCTGGCCTCTGCCTCTGCCCCGCGGCCGGCGCGCGCAGGAGCTTCCCTCCCGCTGCGAAGACTGCGGCAGGACGTACAACCACCGGCGGACTTTGGACAACCACCGGCGCTACGAGTGCGGCATCGAGCCCCAGTTCCAGTGCCCCTACTGTCCACACCGCGCCAAGCGCAAGCAGCACCTAAGGCTGCACATCGCACGCCAGCACGGCCAGCAGCCGGCCTAGAGCGCCTGGAGCCCGTTCTCGTGATTGTGTCCCATGTCACCGGAGATGGCAATAAAGTTGATTTCAAAACACGTCGTTGCACAGCGCGCGTTGCATCCAGCTCTGGAACCTGCAGCCCCCCCCCCCCCCCCCCGGCACCGCCCCCTCTCTCTGACCCCTTTTGTTTGCCCTACAGGATTGCAGCAATGGCAGCTGTGGCAGCCGCAGCCGCTACACACTGTGGCCTTCCCCGCGCAGCGACCGCAGCCACGGCCGCGGCCGTTTCGATGCACCGACTGTGGCAAGGGGTACAGCCACCAGCCCTCCTTGGCCAAGCACAGGCGGCTCGAGTGCGGCAAGGAGCCCCAGTTCCAGTGCCCCTACTGCCCGCACCGCGCGAAGCACAAGCAGCACCTGCAGGTGCACGTCGCTCGCGTGCACCAGCAGCCGGCTTGAGCCCGTGCCGGCCGTGCCGGCGTTCAGCCGTTTTGTTAATGTCTACCTGGCTTCGGTCGCCTTTCCTTGTAACAGGAAGTTACAATAAAGCTGATTGCTGCAGTGTCGACCTTCTTTCCGGCGTGTGTCGCTCCAATTCCCTAAACCTTTAGGCCTTCTGCTCTCCCATCTGCGCTCTCTGATCCTTCCCTCTTGTGTGCTCCACAGGGTGGCAGCAGTGGCCGCCGCAGCCGCCCCACGCCATGGGCTTGGCGGGCTTGGCCTTCCCCGTGCACGGCGGCCATGGCGCGCACCCACCGCCGGGCCCGCCGGGCCAGAAGGAGTACCGGTGCACCGATTGCGGCAAGACGTACATCCACCAGTCCTCATTGTGCAAGCACAGGCGGCTCGAGTGCGGCAAGGAGCCCCAGTTCCAGTGCCCCTACTGCCCGCACCGCGCCAGGCACAAGCAGCACTTGCAGCTGCACATCGGCCGCGTCCACCAGCAGTCGACTTAGAGCTTGCGATGCAGCGGCCTTCCAGCGTGTCCGCCTCTTCCTCACCGATGCTCATAATAAAGTTGATTCAAAGACCGTTGTCCATTGTGTCGCTTCACTCCCCCGGCCCACCCCCGCCTGCCCCCACGCAATTTTGGCTTGTCTCAGTGTTGATCGTGCTAATCCTTCCTCTTCGTGTGTCTCGCAGGATGGCCGCCTCAGCCGCTCCACGTTCTGGCATTCCCCGCCCAGGCTGCGCTGGCCGCGCACGCACCACCGCGGCAGAAGAAGGAGTACCGGTGCACCGACTGCGGCAAGGTGTACAGCCACCAGCCCTCCTTGTGCAAGCACAGGCGGTTCGAGTGCGGCAAGGAGCCTCAGTTCCACTGCCCCTACTGCCCGCACCGCACGAAGCACAAGCACGCCCTCAGGTCGCACATGAGATCCCAACATGACTGGCGTCCGCCATCAGCCGCCCCTGCCGCCGCAGATGCCCCCGTTCCCCCATTTCACCTGGACAACAGCTTTCAGTTTCTGTGAAAAGGGTGTGATTAAAGTTTGCCTTTCGTAGATTGTTTGTCTCTTGAATACAAGTAAAACCTTGACCAGCTACACCCCTTGAAATAATTTGGTGCACTTCAGCACAGAATTCAGTAAGTTGCCCCACATTTATCAGAGTAATGAAGGTCAAACTTAAAGCGGATTAGTTTTTAGTTGTTTCCCCAAGAAAGCCTCGCTCTCTAAACTGCTAATGAATTTAATTCCAATAAATCACAATTCCTGAAACCCACATTTGTAACACAAATTAACCAAAATCTAGATCAAAGATTAATATTTGAATTGGAGAAATAATCGAGGGAACAATTCTAAAACAATGCAAAGATGGTAAAATAGTAAACGTTCCTGATCATACATATCATGTAGAGCACTTAAATTGGGTCTGCGTGTCTCCTCTTCCACCTTGCTTGAAAAGAATATTTTAAGGACATATGGTCAGATTTACTCCCAGTTCAAAATTAGAGGGGTCCTATTCAAAAGATCTTATATGGGCGTTCCCATTCCCCCGCAAGAGAATCTCATCTTAAACGCAGGCGAATTTCACTCAGTTTGATCACTTGATACAGCTACAAATCAATATCATTCGTGACAAAATTCACCTGAACCGGATGATGAAAGATAAAAGAGACCAATAGTGCATGTAGAAACTTATTCCGCTTACTCTCGTATCCCTCCCAAATGATCAAACTGAGTGAAATTTGCCTGCTTTTTAAGATGAGATTCTCTTGCGGGGGAATGTCCAGATAAGACCATTTGAATAGGACCCCTCGAATTGTGGTTGTATACTTCCTTACCCACAAGTTGGGAAAGCACAACGTAATGGACTGGCACAAGGGACTTTCAGTCATTCTAGTACCATTAATGAACTAATCATAAGTACGTGTCTGAATGTTTAATTGACAGCTGAAAGATACCTAGATTTTAGCAAATATGAAAAGGATTTGTCTGATGTCTGCCCAAAAATGAGGCTTATAGGTACTTCGCCTTTTATTGAAATCCCTCATCTGTTGTTTAAATCTTATGCTTGAACTGATGATAGGAGGAGAGATCTGAGACCTCTCAGGTACTAGAGTGGAACTACACAAGATGCCTATCACCAATTGAAATTTTATCCTTTTGAGATTGCGTCAATTAAAACATCTATTCAACAGGAACAGTCCTGTTAGTGTTAGACCTCTTTCGCCTCTCAGGATTGACTACAACTTTCTCTTTGCGACTGGATACTTCAAGGGGATGGAACAACCCAAGAGTCTCAATGAACTATGTCAGTTGGAAGCCGCGAATATGCAACATGTCTGCTTAGGACGCTACATACTTTAAATTTAAGGTAAGACCTCAGGAGAGCCAAAATTTTAGACTTCAAAAGTAACATCAAATATGTCAAGACTAATGAAACAATCAAATTCAATGGATAGTTTAAGTGAAGCAAGCCACAAAGTACGGCTGATGCCAAGAAAGTTATCAGTGAATAGTAAGTTATGAATATTTAGTATATGAATTAGGAAAGGTAATAGACTTTATTATAGCAAATGCTCCGACTCTTTCGGTGAGAAGAAATCAAGTGGAGGTTGAAAAGTGTTAAGTGTAATTCAGAGATGAGACTCGCAAGGAAATTCTCAGGTTCAACTCTACTCATCTGCTGTATCAAGCTTCAGGCAGACCAGAAAATTTTAGAAGCAAACACAATAAGATAAAGAAAACTTAATGCCCAGACTTGAGACAACTGATGAGCAGGCTTTTGAGGAAAGAGACATATTAAGTTAATTTCTTTTATTTTTTCAAAATTACAGGGTGACAATTCTTCGGTTCTTGTTCTTCACAGGGATCTTCTCAGCTTCAGTTGAAAAATCTTGAAGTATATTTATATATATGTGCAGTGTAAGAACTACGTAAATTATCGAGACCACGATAATCTACAAGAAGCTCCAAACGAGCTTTAAATAATTTGTGTAGTGTCATGCTTCGTGATAAAACCGCAAGCCAAAGTGGCAAATGGTGAAAGAGTTCAAGGGGAAGGGGAGGGGGTACAGGGTTAACAGGTTCAACAGCATGAGCCTCTCACTGTTACTTAGTGAGGGTTCGACTTAACCTAGTAGAAAATATACTCACTTTAAAGGACGACGACCCAGGAGATGATGTATAAGCTCTTCAAGCCCACTTCCACATCAGGCATCTTCAATAAAGCAGCAATAAATAAAAAAAAGAAATCGCGAAAAGACTTACGCGGGGTCACCAGTCAAGTGCTATCAATGTACTATGACAAGAACTAATGAGTATTAACAGGAAACGAGTTAGACCAGGTATAGCAAACAGTTCTGAAATGATGCACTCACTCTCTTTCATTATGTTATCAGCATGCCAACACTTTCATAACTGTAACCAATTCACAAGCTTCCCTGACATTAGCTGAAATTGGATTACCTCTATGAGAGTATTATAGCATTGACAAAGCCATCTTCAAGAGAGACTGTGCACACAATTCAAACCCCATAAGCATACCAAAAATCTAGGCAGAGCGTTAAAGATCAAATGAAAACACAGAAGATTAATTGATTAAAAAGAGAACTAATTCCCTTATCATAAGGAAAACATGAAACAATGACCAAGTCACAGAAATTGATAGCACCCAGGCAACCATAGGGCCGGATATGAAATTACCGAGACAAGAAATTAAAGATCAAACGAGTTACTGACAAAAGGCCAACGAATGCCCAAAGTAGGCACAGGCAATGGAAAATCCGGAATACCTTCGAGTAAATGCAATACCCTGAAGTGAATGGAAAATTGGTTACCACTTGATTCTGCCACAAATGTTAAGATAAATGGTTGACGCCTGACAAAAGGCTTATGAATGCCCGAAGTGGACACAAGCAATAGAATAACCCTCACTCTAAAATAAATGCAAAAACCTGAAGTAATTAGAAAATTGGATACCATCTGATAGCCAGAAAATGTGAAGATGATGGAATTGACGTCTGAATAAAGGCTTGCAAATGACCAAAGTGAACAAGAGCAATGGAAAACCCTCAATAAAATAATACAAAATCCTGCAGTGAACAGAATAATGATTACCATCTGACTTAGCCACCGATGTGAAGATCGATGATTGACGTCTGAAAACAGGCTTAATACCCTAAATGGACACGAGCAATGGAAAGCTCAACGCTGTAAGATAAATGCAAAACCCTTGAGAGAATAGAAAATTGGTTACCATTTGATGCAGCCACAAATATGAAGATTGCAGTACCCTCAGGAAGTTTCTTCAGCATATAATATGCTCTTCATACTGTCGGTTACCGCGAAGTCCTGATTTACCAAGGACTCAAAGGCCCACCCGTTGGCCTATCATGACTGGTCGAACTGACAAACACAAAGGAGGACAAGAAAAAGCTTCATAAAGAAACCCCAGCTTACAACATGCAAACCCAAAACCCGTTCGAGGCAACACCATGTACATTCACCAAAATACAAACTAACCCAAGCTACGAACTCAAACTACCCTTCCATGACAGACTTTTCACTGACAACTGGAAGCAACAGAAATGGAGTCAGGAAGAGATTTGAACTCAAAGGGGCAACTCATTCCTGACTCCATTGCTGATACCCTTGATATGGAGGATTCAAGAACTTAAAATATGTAATCATTGAAAAAAATTAGTTAAGCCTCCAAATCAAGGGCAAGGACCTCAACAAGATACCTGTCCTCACCTTGGGCATTATTAGAACCATCTTGATCTGCCATAAACATATCATTGTCATTCATAAAGTTCCCTGTAAACAAGAATACTGATTAGAAAAAGAACACCAGGTAATTCAAATACTTCAAACACATCACTGGTACTGACCTGATCTAGAATGAGAAGGTCCAGCTACACTATCGTCATCACCCAAGGGCAAATCTTGAGTGTCGTCATCCAGGTACTCAGTTTTAGGTTCAATAAGGACATCAGATGATCCCTTATCTTGTATCACAATTTCTTGAGAACTAGGTGTCACTGCTTTGGCAAATATACCACTATCAGTTGCAGTTTCAGTCTCAGCACTCTCCATAATAGAGGACAGCAACGCATCGGCAGGACCAGATGCAGGCACAGATGGTAACATATCTTGATTGAGAACAGAAGGGCCAGTAACAGGGGCAGCTGCAGCTGATGATTGCTTCCCATCGGCAACATTGCTTGAACTATCGTTATCTGATTCTTCTGATCCTCTTCGCCGTCTTCTCTTCCGCTGACTAGGTGAGACACTGCCATCTCTTAAATCATCAGCTAAATTTGTTGATCTAACGGTGAGTTGTTGATTTGACCGGACAGAGACTGGAGCTCCCTTCGAAGTTCTCTTGGTTCCACCAGTTGTCCCTCCAGTGTCGGGTGGGTCTGTTCCAGAATCTGTCAGGCCTTTGATTTGAAGACTTTCAGCTGCTCTAAGGAAGGCGTTGAGTTTGTCATGAGCAACATTCACTTCTCCCCGATACATGTAGTCTACCATAGCTTTCAGTTCATCGAATCTGACATCCTTCAAGATTAGGATAGGGTGTTTGTCGTAGTGCTTGGTCAGCAAGTCCTGAAACAGAAGACCCAAACAATGAGTAAAGACAAAGCACCGCATAGACGACCCTCCAATTTGATTGAAAAGCTACCAGGTTCAGCCTGAATAACATCATGTTCAGAGTAATCTTGCAACTACAAAGGGGGTAGTAAAAAAGTGTTCTCACTCATGAACATATTGATGGACAATGCCTCACCGTTTCTACAAACCCACAATATGGCATTACAACCCACTAAGTAAAACCTTGAAGATGAGACATATCAGCTACCAGGACTTTGGTATTGGGAGGGGAACATGAACAGCAAGAGCCAGCACAATGGCATGGAGCAGACAATACGTTAGAAATGGACTGAGTGAGAAGCTTCGAGAGGGAAGCATCTAAACTACAGCATAATCCAGGTACAAACCCTGTCACCTAGGATATGCGACCCACGGCTAAGATACGAAAACCTGCAGGACAAGAGATAAAAAACTAACTCACCTCTAAATAAGGACTGCACGCTGACAAGACAACTTTGTGGGCTTGCAGAGACTGGCCCTCTGCACCAAGAGTACAGTCGACCATACATCCTCGTTCTTGAAGAGAGTCGAACACCGAGATGAGAGTATTCTGATGATTGTTCCACCTTAAGCAGTACTGTTGGTCCGCCATCTTGTCCTGGAACAAACAAAGCATTCTGTTGAACAAAAAGCCCCTCACAAACATTTAAGAGGGTCCAGACCCAAAATGTGAAACCAAGAGAGAAATAGAGTTAAAAAGTCCTAAAAGGAACAACTAACAAAGCTTAGATTTAGACTGGAAACTAAGTGAGCCGTACGCCCGCCTCCATGCGAGGCGCCACTACGAGGTGGAAGGACCAAAGAGCCTGGTGGAGTCCGTCGCCCGGGGCCAGACCAAAAACCAGAGTTCAAAACCGAAACGCCGTTGGCGGGTCTGAAGATTATTCCACTTCAGCCCACCGGGAAAGGTCGCCAGAATGTGCGCGGCCCTTAAAACGGGTGGCACAACAAACGGAGCCTAGCCGGCAGGGCAGCCGACATGACAGATCTGAGCCTGTGGTTTCCGCGGTAAATAATACGTTCTCATTAAGCCTCGAAACAACACCCAGGGCAAGAAACTACAAGTGCAATCACACAGCCACAAGAAGTGGAGCGGGAACATGCGCGCGAAGCGTCAGCACGAGGTGAAAGGACCTCCAGCACTCCAAACCAAACGGAGGCAGAAAATCGTATAGGAAGCTTCAGAACATTGGCCGTCGGGCACAGGACACAAGAAAAGCACTCAAGTAGGCCGCCAGAAACTGCGGGGCATCCACGACTAGGGGAACACAGAGACGCCTAGAGGTGGTCGCCATGACAGGTCTCAACCTGCCCTCACAAACCTCCGATCGCGGTGAGACAACAAAATGAACTAAGCTTTCCTACAATCCCGAATCTGAACGCAAGACGACAAAACGCTGAAGTACTCGCACTGCCTACCGGAGGAAGGCCAAAATTCAAGCGGCCGAAAGATGCGAGAAAACACTTACATTTCACAGATGGAGAGGTGAAGAGCGAGCGCACGCAACTTTCCTCCAGCGGCGTCACCGATGTTGTGATGAGAACGCCGCCGAACTGCTTCATCCCCGCAGATCCTGTACCCCCACCACACGCCGCCAGCCAATCAGCGCACGCGAAACCTCCAGCTGGACGGTGTCGGAATTGGAACACTTTGGTGTAAGAAGAGATAAAGCCCATAAGTACGACTAAAACAAAAGATGTTTGCCGGTAATATTTATTTAAAAATACAAAGTAGCTTTCTTGCCAATGAAATATGGCGGGAAATCATACCAACAGAGACCCACTGGAAAGAGCTCACTCTGATTGGTCGAGAAGTTACGCGGTGACTCAATTCCGACACGAAAAGAAAATTAGGAAATAAAAGTCCACTACGTAATGTTGGTGGTAAGAATGGGTCAAAATTAATAAGCAGAGACGTCTATCCTCATTGGAGTGACTAACCAAGCGAAAATCTTTCGGGGAATGGGTTCAAAGGGACTTTACTTGTTGGGCTTGCTGCGCATGCGCCATGGAGCTTTGCGCTGCGCCGTTGTGGTCCAGCTCCTGCCCCTCACGCTCATGTCCAGGATCAATATGGCGTAAGCCAAATAAAATTTACTTCCCTTCATTGAATAATAAAACAAAAACTGTATTTGGTGGAGTGACGCTCTCAGAGGTGTCCAAGGTGAAGGTGCCAGTTAAATCGCATACATCAAGAGAATCGAGAATTTTTGGGCTCTGAAATCAGAAATCGGCACTCTTCCAATCTTAGAATCTAATAAGAAAATCACCAAAGGGAAGGACGAAGACACTGAAAAACAAGCGAGTGCACTGTTTTGGCAACCCATATGAGGTTTCGGTAGATTTTCGAGCTCTTCATGGACAACATTCAGTTGGTTGGTTGCCTATGGGCTACTTTTTGTCAGCCAATGTGTTGCTTGAGAAAATGTCACCAATTTGCATGATTTGAATTGCCCGCCCCATGAGCCCCCGCTCCCCCCCCCCCCGCCCTCCCCCTCGGGTAGTTCCTAGTTGTAGAAGGCACACTGTGTTTCGTATGTTGTGCCAAAACGCCTGAAATTTTAGTTCATAACAATTTATTAGCAATATGACATTTTCTGTCACTTACATTGCTGCATCCAGCTCATGTACCTTGAATAGTGTCGTTTAAATTCGCGTTGTCAATCGGTTTTGTTATTCCTGTTGGGTTCCACATCTGAGAATGACTTTATACGTGGAACTAACCTGAATGTGCTACCTGTCCTTTCACCCTGACGGCACCTGAAAGTGTCAAGTGCTTTTAAGTTTGATGCAACTTACCTCCTTATATGTATAGTGAAGTGTTGTTGTGGTCCTGTCGGACACATAAATTCGTTTTGCATGTATTATCAGAACGAACAAGGGGTTAATGTGCTGTGTGTTTATACTTTTGGAGAAATTGTGCCCTGTTTTAAAGAGGTAAGTATAAAATTTCTTTGCTGATTTTTTAATTATTTTGCAATAACAAACATTGCGTTTCTTTTCAATCGGAATTTTTAAATCAGTGGCATTGTTAATTACTTTGTACTTAACATTCAACTCTATTTTAACAAAGTCCTTCTGCTTGTGGACTAATCCACTGTTCACATTCTGACATCTGCCACTCTTACTCTTGTTCATGAGTGAAATCGTTTCTATTTGATAGTACTTTAGTTTTCATTATTGGATCCCATGCTTCTTACCAGATGGCTTGTCTCTGTGTCATTTGAAGTTGAAAAGTATGTGTCAGTGATGAGGTGTCAACGGTGACTTGAGGGAACATAACCTTCTTTGATTGCTAGGTGGTATTTTTTGTTCGAGTTTTGTCTTTTTGTTTGGTCCTCGTCACTTTGAAACACTGAATTATTTCTTAAACTCACACCAGTGTGCTTACGTGTCGCATGAACCGTGAACCATACCTTTTCAAGATCTCAGCGAAAGTGACTCATATGTCATTTTGGAAGTTTCCCTATGTGTTCTTCTTCAGTCCAACCTCTACATCTTTGAAGAATAATGAAAATTTTGTCTTTCAGTGTGTTAAGTCAATGTGCATAAGTGTGATCTTTTCCTGAAAAACTTTCGTCTTTCGTTGGTAAGATGCCACGTACTCTGTTTCTTGTTTGAGTTTGCAAGCATTTCTTAGTGGATCTGGTCTTTTCATACTTCTCTCCTTCTGCTTTGTCTGCTCTTATTTCTGGGGATAATCATCCGACTAGCTCAATTGGAAGAGCGTTGGCTGTCAGCCGAAGGTTCTGGGGTCGAATCCCAGGTCGGATATCCTCTTCCCTCTTCTAAACTGTTACTTGCAGTGCTGTCCTTTTTTCTTCATTTACTTTAAGATTTGTGATATTTATGTCTGAATGTTATTGTCAATAGTTTTTGTTAATAGTTAATGTTTAAGCTAACAATAATGTGTCTTTTCAGAGGACAACGAGGGATTGTGGAAGGATGGCCATGTTGATAGCTTTGATGAAGATGTGTCCAATGAAGAGGAACAACTGTCAACTTTAGATGAATACTATAGTAAACACTGCAGTACATTTCTGGAGTGGGGAAAAGCACACAATGTTCCATCTGGCTTTTCACCTCAAACATCACATACAATATCTACCTTGATGCCTCCATCTTTAGAAGCATTGAATGAAAATAAGTCATTTCCTTGTGATACTTGTGGAAAGGTTTACAAATTGAATTCATCCTTGTACACTCATAAAAAATTTGAGTGTGGTAAAGTTCCGGCGTTTAAGTGTCTGTTTTGTCCTCAGCGTACTTACCAGAAAGGTAGTATGAAGCGTCACATGAAGCGAATTCACAACTCTGATGCAACACCTCTAAATACACATGTGTTTGACAAAAAACTTTAAATGAATTCAAATTTTAAATCAATTTCTTTTTCTATTTTTCTAATTCTAAACATTATGCTTTAGTTGATACACTGTGTATGAAGAACTTTTCTTTTACAGTGATAGATTGTATGTTCAAACATTAGGTTGAAACTGTAGATGTCAGGTTGATTTCAACCAAAAGTTTCTGTTCAGCAGGTTAAAAGCTTTGTATCATTGCAAATTGATTGTAAAGCAACTTTTACCTCACAAATATGAAATAGAAACAAATTTCTTTTGACTCTCATGTTTAATTTTTGTTACACTTGTATAATAATGGTATGAGTTTATTAAACTGGACTAATGCACATGAATTTTTAAAGAAGTATTTTTTACTGTTGTAAATTTAAAATGTTCCTTAATATCAATTTACATCAGAAATACATTACCTTGATGCCTGCAATTTCACAGGAGTAATGTAATGTTTTGCGTTTGTTACAGGTGATTTCTGGACTCCACAGGATGTACTTCATACAAGTGATCAAGAAAACCATAAATGTGATATTTGTGGTAGAGTCTATCTGCGGCGTCGTTCACTGTGGAGACATCGTTCTTATGAATGTGGAAATAAGAAATTATTTTCATGTTCATACTGCAATAACAAGTTTTCTCAAAAAACTCACATGGAATGTCATATGCGCCGAAAACATCCTGAAATGTTTGGTGCTGTTTGAATTATGTGCCTGTTTTATGTATCAAATTCTTTTCTCTCAAAGCGAGGAATCGTTTTCAGATAAATATAATTAAAATAAATTTTTGTCATTCGTAAACCTATTTTTTGCCTTAACTCAATCAACCCTTTGTATATGTGACACTTCTTGGGTTGTACTAGTGTTCATTACTTGTGAGTTCTTAAAACCATTGGTTACTCAAATTTAGCTGTAGATTGACCTAGAGGTTTCTTCTTTGTCATTTTAAAACTCCTCTTACTTCAAGCAATGACATTACACTTTTTGTTCTGGTTTTGTTTCTCTGTTTTAGTGCCTCCTGCATGGCATCAGCCTCGATGGTCTTCTACTGAATCAGTAGTGCCTGGTCTCTCAGCTCCCTCAACTATGCAAGCAAGTGGAAAGTTTTCATGTCAAGCCTGTGGGAAAATGTACCAACAGTTCAGGTCCCTAAAGAGGCATCAGAAGTATGAGTGCCACCAGGTTCCTAAATTTTCCTGTAACTTTTGTACTCATAAAACAAAGCACAGAAGTAGTCTTCTAGTTCACATGAAAAGAAAACATAATGTTGAGCTTGTTAGCTGAAAGTTTTAAAGGGAAGTGTTGAATGTGGTGCCTGTTGGAAACTTCACACCTGTTCTGATTATACCAACACATTTGACATCTGATGATCATTGAGAATATGAATGTGGTTTTTTCTGACAACTGAGCTGCGTGTACTGTTCTTTCAAGACTAGGAAAAGCAGTGTCTTGGATAGACGGACGTTTGGCTGAACCTCTGAGTCGCGTATTACATGATGTTTGTGAGCAGAACCTGTACTAAAGTTTCCAGTGAAACAATTGGTGTGGCTTGTTAGTTGTGTTTGTGTAATTTTGATCTCCTTTACAAGGAACTTATTTTAATCTTTGAGCTATTGTTTGTTGTGACAGATGCTGCTGCTATTAAAATAAATAATGTTAAATTGTTGATGCCTGTTCTTTGTTTAAATTCAGATTTTTTATGAAACCTGGTTTATTTCTTTGTCACGTTAATTTCTTTGAAACAATTAAAAAACCTTAGATAGGTTTTTTTTCTTTTTCATTTTTCTAACTCCTTTTGTTACTTATTTTGTTTCAGAAATTGATGATATCTGGCTGTCTCATGGGCTGAGAGATAGTATCGGTTCTTCTTCTTCAGGAATGGGAAACATGACAAGTACGTTTTGGCGCCAAAGAACTGACAACCGACGACCTCGTGACAAGCTTTGCCCGTTCAGATGTTCAGATTGTGGGAAGGGCTACCTTCATGACAGTTCTTTGTGGAATCATCGAAAATATGAATGTGGCAAGGACCCACAATTTCATTGCCCCCACTGTGCATATCAGACAAATCGCAAGGGGAGTCTTAAGAGGCACCTGGTAACAATGCACTTCCCTGGCTCTGATCATTCAAACAATGATGCTTTTCAAGTACAGCAAACAAGTGCTACTAGTTAAACTTAATTTCTTTATTATTATTATTTTTTTTTTTTGTCTCAAACTTATCTGATTTTGTATTTTGAAATTTCTATCTCAACACTTTTGAAAACATAGCTTTTAAAAATATGCTTTCCTTAGCCCTTGAAAGACAAGAGAGCAGAGTTATGACTTTTCTTGCACACCTCTCTTGAATCAGCTCATCAAGTGTAACCCCCATCATTTGTTATGTTTTGTGTGATTTCTTCATTGTGAATAGTCAGGAATAAATTTCATTGTCTTTAGAAGAATCTGTTTTTGTTTTGTTTTCTTTTGCTAAGGCCTTGTGTTGGCTTCATTGTGGGTGATTTCTTTTTCAAATTTCTAATGATTGCAATATTGATGGCATAACAAGAACAGACCATGCAGTAAGTGTTGTTAAAGTCATGCAAGGTTTAAGTTACTCCAGTAGCTCAAGCACTGAATTGTAAAGTTAATGATGAATTGGTCATTTACTTTCCATATTATTTGTGTATCTGTTGTGAAGTTACTGAACGGGAGTGGCAAAGTTTCTATGATAAGAATTTTAAGTACCCTACTAATTAAATGCGTGTAAGAGGTTGTAAAATTGTTGTATTTGAGTAATTATTTGTTTGAGTGATGTTTTCCTTCTGTGATACCACAGTCTTGTCTTATCTTACAGTAAATATTTGAGATTTAAATGTTTGTCTTATTTTTCTTTTCCTTCCGATTATTATTATTATTTATTGTTACCTTTTAATGTCCCTTGCTTTGAAAACCTGATTCTATAAGTATTTTCTTCTTTTGGATGCTTTTTTGTTGCCTGTTATGATGATAGCCTAATATAAATATTTCTATTCCAGATGCATTTAATCAGTGGCCTGCTCAAGCAAAGCGAGATTCAAACTCTTCAATTGGAACCTATCAGGTCTTGTCCAATGCAGAACCGTGTGCGCAACCACAATCTATGTCCAGGGCCTCTGTAACGGGTCCTCCTTTTGTGTGTACAACATGTGGAAAGTCTTATCTACAATATCCATCTCTGTGGCGTCACCGCCGATATGAATGTCAAAAAGTGCCTTTGTTTCAATGCCCATATTGTTCTTATTGTTGTAAACAGAAGAGCTATATGAAGAAGCATGTTGAGAGAAGGCATGATCCTGGTAAAAATTCTGCCCCTCCACGATGGGCCCAACCTAACATTGGTCAACAACGTTAGCAGATGTTTTGCTACCTTCACTTATTTACATATATTTAATTAAACATTGTAATGTAATGCAGTTTTACCTTACTCAACGACGATCATGTTATGCTTTAAGTTCACATTTGGCCAATAAATCATACCAAATCAAATAGACTTTTTAAGTACAATTGTTTCATGTCATGTTTTTACTTATTGGGATAGGATTCATACGAAAAGGTCTGAGTTAAAAATAATTGTTATGAAGTGTGTGCGTTTGTGTTTATACTTACTGTCTAAATTTTTCTCTGTTGCAGATGATATTTTGAACAGTTGGGTATTAATGAATAACTATCATACAAGAGATGCGCTCTCTGAGCACCAGGAAAATGAGAACCGGTTTCAAAGTCAAAGTCATCACTGTGACAAGTGCAACCGTATCTATTCTCATCAGCAGTCTCTCAGAAACCATCAGAAATTTGAATGCGGCAAAGTTGCACAGTTTGCATGCTCTTATTGTGATTACCGATGCAAACGGAAAGGAAATATGAAAACCCATATAATCCATGTTCATTCTCGTGTATTGCAAAACTAGTATTCTTCACAGTTTTCAGCAAGGGGACTTGCCAGATTTTCCATAGTTGCCCTGTTTTCAAAGGAACTTGTGGAATCATTTCCAGCCCTGTGGTTCAACACAAAATTCTGTAACTTGCTGAATAAACATTTCTTCATACATTTCTTTAATCTGTTTGTTTTTCCTCTGTGGACCAAATGATTTTGTGCATGGCTTGCTTGTATTCAGCCCTAATGGCTGTCTCCAGCAGCGTTAGTGTCATATTGTTCGAAGTTTTAAAATTCAATCCCTGGCAATACAGTTTGTTTTGTTTCTTGTCCATGTATATGTCTTTGTGTGGCTTAGTTACCAGACTCTAATAAGTGTGTCTTTGTTTGCAGGCCTCTGCTGGAAGGGAATGATTCATGACACACTGGTACTTCCAGTTCCTAGCTCCCACTTCATGCAAGGCCCAATGCCACGCAGTGGAGGGATGGGAGCGTTTACCTGCAGCGACTGCGGTCGCGCCTATCAGCAGTATGCATCCTTGTGGCGACATCGTAATTACGAATGTGGCAAACTCCCACAATTCCGTTGTCCATATTGCTCTCACCGCTCTAAGCGTAAGAGCAACCTCAACAAGCACATCAAGATAATTCACAATGTTGATATGGGCCATGTCGAACCAGGCCAATCAGATACTTTACTAGATGCACCCTGAATCCTAACTTATATATCAGTATTTCATATCCATCTGAATCATTTCGTGTGTGCTCAAATTGTTCATTTTGAGGAATATTTTTACACTGATTCCCCCACTGAGTATTAAATGATCTGGGTAAATTCTAAATTAACATGGATGGAATGGTGACGTTTTTTGTAAAAGTGCAGCATTACTAAAATTTGTCGTAGTACAAAAGCCAATTCTTTAAGATTCAAGTCCTGGGTCTTTTTATACCAAAGTCGAGTATGGCAAGTTGTTGATTCAAAGGTGTTCTGACTGGAACCTCCTAGTCTCCTCTTGAGTCTTTTTTCCCCCTATTTAAAAATCATTTTGTGTTCTGATTTTTTTAGTTTATCATTGTTGTGACTCTACATAAATTTTATGTCTGTGGTTTTGTTTTGAATCTCAAAAATAATGGTATTGAACGAGCAAGTAAGTAACTTTTTTGCTGTGGAGTGTTCTTGTGAGAGAACTATTCTCTTGAAACTGTTTTGTGAACGTAAGCTGCTGCCCATATTGGATTATTGTCAGCGGATGTTTAGTTTTAAGTGTTACATAATTTTATTGGTGATTGATACAATTAGTCATTTGAAGAGCACCTTGACGCATTTTCTTGTGATATATTTCAGGTCTCATTTTTTATTTTGTTGGTTTGCATCTTGCAACCAGTCTCAAACCTTAGTGATTATTAGCATCAGCAGACCTTGGTATTGACATTTGTCCAAATTCAAATTGATAGTTTTGCTTGAATTTCAGTCAAATGAGTTAACTGTGCATTAATTATGGACTGCTCAACTAGTCACATATTTGTTTCAATAATATCAAAATATTAGTCAGTAATTTGTCCTGTGTATTGGTGTTGAGTATGTTAGCAGTATAATTTTGTGTCTATTTAGTTTTGCTGTTCTGGCTCATCATCATTCATGATGTAGTGACTTGAATTGTTGAGACGTCAGAAGTTTGCCGTTACAATCTAAGACATAGTAGCGTCATAGGCCTGCATAGATTTATACCTTACTGAAATAATGTACTTCTTTTCTCTAATGCAACTCTTGTGTACTGGACCATGGGTGGGAGCATTGTGTGAATAATACTTCTCTACATTGTAATTGGATTACTTTGGAAATAATTTGAAAATAGTTCAACAAGGTATATCTTGCATTATGCCTTTCTAAAAGGATCAAAATCACATCAGAGAGAGAGAGAGAGAGGTGCACTTATTTCAGCATTTTCCTGACAACATTTTAGTGACTTCTCGTAATTGACTTTGTCTAATTTGTCTTTCAATGACTCTCGCAAACTTTTTTTTTTTTTTAAATGGAGTATTGTGATTGTTCTCTCAGACAGTGATTTGTTGTTTGTGTATCGTGGTATACATTCAATTGCTGAACTGCTGTGTGTAAGCATCTCAGCATGACAATATTTTGCTCTGCTTTTCCTGTTCTCGTGTGCCATCTAACACAATGGACATGTTTTGTTGTCTTGTCTTGTAACCAGCAATTGATCGGCAATCACATATTTTTTTGTGGTCCTTTCAGTTTTTTCCTTTCTTTGGTGAGTTCTCGTAACTTTTCTTTGTAGGGGTTTAACTCTAAGTTACAACCCTTACAACAAGCCTATCATAATAACTTATTTCAAACCATACTCTGGTTTAAATATTTGTTGTGTAAACAAACAAAAAAACACTACTCACATTTTGTGAAATCTTTTAATACTACTGTTTATTAAGTGTATATTTTTATACAACTTCTAATACTACTTTGTTACAAACAGATCCCATCATCGTCGATTTTCTCTAGTTACTGAAATTGTTCTCAAAATATAAAATCGGTAATTGCCTCATCATTGTTATCTAGAGGTATTTTCTCAGGAGGATGGGTAAGACAACTGTAAATTTTTAAGGGGACACTGATTCTACGCCTCAAGTAGTTTTTTCTTCCTTTTGATCAAATGTGTTTTGATTGTGCCATGGCTTTTGAAATATCAGGACTAGATTATGCAATAACTAAACTAAGTTTAAAAACTACTCTCCCTGTAAATTCATAATTAAAATTCAATTATTTAATTGATTTGTCTTTTATAGTGTTCCTCCTGAGATTAAACTAACTGTGTGGTCTCCAGAAGGTATGTTTAAGGCTATGATTTTCAGTGTCATTCTTGTGTAACTGCTTGCTGTTCTAGTCCTGTATTTCTCCTTCTTTTTTTTTGTCTTGTGATGTTGAATGATTCATGTTTTTGTAATGTGGAAACTCATGTTGTTTATTAATAAATATTCCTAGGATGATTGTTTGGTGTTCGTTTGCCAAAATACATCTAATTCTTGTTTAGTTGTAATATTTATTTTAGATACCGGAACAGCAACTTTTTTTTTCTCATTCTATACTAATATTTTTTTGTTGTAATAGCTCTGTTCTTGTTATTTGAATGGTGATTTTGAATTTGATTGGTTTTTTGCAGCTGTCACAAATTTTAACTTAGCTAATTGCTTCAACTTCTTTTTCAGTGTTATGGCATTCTTCCATCAACAGTACGAGCACTACTGAAAATGGGAGTTGTTTTGAAGAAGGGACATATCCCCAGCAGCATCCTATCCAACAATGGCATGAAGATCTTCAACCCATTATCCAAAACCGCTCTACAACAGATATAAGTTGTGGTACATTTCCCTGTCCAACTTGTGGCAAAGTGTATCTTCGCAGCAGGTCACTATGGCGCCACCGGAATTATGAGTGTGGCAAAGACCCTCAATTTCACTGTCCCTATTGTAACCATCAGACTAAGCAAAAAAGCAGCCTCAAAGTCCATATCTTACGCATTCATGCACCAAAACAACTTGAGTGAGTTAATAGTATTTTCACTCCTGATGTTGGAGGCCGTAAACTCAGTGCATTGTGCTGGTTTCGTGTCACATGTTATTATGTTCGAACCAAAATACTCCTCTATTATCTACAAATTATTTGTAATGATATAATCATAACAGTTTTGTGAGTTATGTTCACCTTAAACAAGGATTGCCAAAGTCAGTCAGAACATAATGTTATAACTTCATGATGTGTTTTTGAGACTTACTGAAATGTGCTTGTATTGAAGTTTTTCTTCAGCCAATGTCATTTTTTCTTACTGTTAATGATCTATGCCATCTATTACATGTGGACTGCTTGTTTTCTGTTCCTTGGAGCCCTTTCTAATTTTAAACCCACAAACACTCATTTTTCTTTCAAAAAAAAAAAAAAAACTTTAAAGGACTGTAAGTGTTTTAACACACATTCCATTTTTTTTTCAAATCTATTTTTCTATGTATTTCAATATGTGCCTTTTTGTTGTAGGCTCACGAGTAAAAACTGAATCCCCAAGATCCAATGAAAGTAGTGGATTGCACAGATGTTCCCCTGCTGCAGCAGGAAATGTCCAGTTCCACTGCCCAGAATGCAGACAAACATTTTCGGACTACCATCTCTTGTGGCATCACATGGATTTTCTGTGCAACCAGTTTTATGATCCTCAATGATCTGGTACAGAAACAAAAGAACATGTCACCATAACATTATCCAACAACCTCCCTCTATTCTCTTTCCTAATAGCTGCCTCATTCATTACTTCCTTTTGATTTGTTCATTGTTCTAAAGCATATACATAGGGAAGTTAAGTTGCGTGAAAACATGAAAATGTTACCGCCTGTTCTAAAGGTTAAATCTGACTATAGATTTGTGATTTTAATCCCTTAGTTTTAAAATTAAATCAGTTTTTACATGTCAGTTTCATTGGCTTTACCTTTTTTCAGTTTAAAGTTTTGTTCAATGTATACTTTTTCCTTCCAAACATTTTTTCTAACCTGCAGGTCCTTATTTTTCCTCTTTCCCTTATTATTTTTATTTCATTCCATTAAATATTTTAGGAAGATTTTAATTTTTATTGTCTTTTGCTTTTACAGGTGTTCCTGTTTTTCATGGAGGGGTTCTCCCTGTTGTGTCCTGTCCGACTGTAGATATTCAAGCAGCAGTTTTGATTGACGGAGAAGATGGCTATGGATCTGGGGCCTACCAGTGTATAGAATGTGGAAAACATTATAGTTACCAATCAACCCTTCGTCGCCATGTTAAGCTTGAGTGTGGCAAGTCACCACAATTTCACTGTGCCCATTGTTCTTATAAAACGAAACGCAAATGTGATCTTATGAGACATTTCAGTTCAAAACATCAAAAGTCAGCAGATGGGTCATAGTGCATGAAAAAAAAAAACTTGTTTCTTGTTAGATTTTGATGTAATGACTGTTAAGAATGGTTTGTTTAGTCTGCTGTTTTACCTTTTCCTAGAATCAAAAGTTCTTAAGCCATTGTATTTATGACTACAGTTTACCTTTATCTGTTTAAATTTATGGAATTTGATTGATCTCAGTTTTGTCCTGTTTCTCAGGTTAGTTTTGTCTTTTTTCTATATTTTTTGGTGCTTTATCTCAAATATGTTACAATGTTAATAAAATACAAAACTGTTGCCACTTATGAATTTTTGACTTAATATTTTAACTTTTATTGTATTTGGTTGATTTTTTGTTTGAAATGATCCTAGAACTTTAACACATGTTACACCAACATTATACTCCTATTTTATAATGTGCATGTCAATTTTATAATTTCTTGTTCATTGGTACAATATGGACTGTTACTAACACATGTTTATTTTTCAGATCTGGCCTTGGGATTCTTCCCTCGCTGGTGGCTACCAAACTTCCAGAGACCCGAAATCTCTGCCACTAGACGCCCAGGAATTGGAGATGGCTCTGGAGAAGGTCACAAATGCTCTGGATGTGGAAAGACATACCTTTGGAGATCAACATTGACAAGACACAAGCAGTACGAGTGTGGTGGCAAAGAGCCCATGCACCAATGCCCTCACTGTTCATATCGTGCTCGCCAGCGTGGTAACTTAGGAGTTCATATCCGCAAATATCATTCCTCATCTCTTGTTGAAAATCATTCCCCTCCTGTAAGAGATTAATTGAAGCCTAAGTGTTTTAAATATGAGAGTATCTTACAAAGTACTGTAACAATGGGAATTATCTTTTTAAACATTGATGTCATGCTCCATTGAAGGTAAGGTTTGACTGAAAATTTCAATGGTGAGCTGCAGTGCAGACATATCTTCAACGACGTTAAGCAAATTTGACGACTTCAATTCGATATTTGTTTTATGGTAGGAGTCACATTGCCTGTTTAGGTATAAAACATTTTAGTTTGTTTGTAAATCAACCATAGCAGTTCTCATTATTCTTAGTCTTGACAATTTAAAATGTTACAACTCCTATCCCAGTTAATACATCCTCTATTGTGTATCTAATTGGATTTTGAGTTAAGCCCTTACCTCAGTGGTGGTCAACTTAGACTATAGCCTCTTTTTTTGTTTCTGATCGTTCTATATTTGAACTAGAAATGTAATGAGTTACCTATTAGGAAGCTGATTGACGGATGATCTCATAATTTGCCACGTTTTTGTAACTCCATTGGGAGGGTTGTAGTATCTTGCTATCCTTTTTATGACCTTTTAAAAAAGTAAGTTCTGATTTATGATTTTGTTAATGTCGTGTATTCTCTTGTATTGATGTGCCAAAGGTTGTGTAGTCGTGAAGCTTGAAGTGTAAATGTACGAATAGGTTTCGTCATGTTCAACATGGTTTGTCAGAAAATACCAAAGCAAATTTTATTTTTACAAATGTTGGAAATTAAGGATGGCTGTCCTTGTTCAATCCAATCTATCCTCCAATTAATTGTTTGCAATCCTAACATGCCCTGAAGAATTGCATTTAGCTTTGAGAACACATTTAAGATTATGGTGTATCTTTGCCCATGTGCAATTATAGAAACCAGAAGCGCGCACCCTGAGCCTTCTTTTAAATCTCTTGAGAGACCATATCAAGAAACCAAGGAATTGGTGAAATGGGTAGTACGTCTTACTTTCTTACTCATGTGTGCCATCTTTCCTTTAAGTAATACATAATAAATAATACACCTAATAGCGAGAATAGAAATGGATTCAGATGCTTTTTTTGTTTTCATTTGGAGAAAGCCCTTCGCTTTTGTTGTTCTGTGTATGTCACATGGAAACTTGTTCCTTTTTTTTCACCGTAATTAATCTTTTAAACGAAGTCTTCAAAGACGTTACGATAATCGTTCCTTTCAACATGAACTATGTGGTACAAATTATTTCTATTTTTATTATTAAATGTATACGTTTGCTGTAAGTTGCTTGAAACTTTTTTGTTTGTAAACATTTTTGTGAATACAATAAACATAAGTGTAACTTTTGTGCAAAAAATAAATTTGTTTTGAGATAGACCTTTGACAAAATGAGAGCTGTCCCATTTACCTAGGTGTTTGTTCATATTCACTAACATGTGGTTCATTTTCTGTTCCAGATTGTTATGACGGTGGAAACCAAGTTAATGGTACTGTTGGAGCTGCTTTCCAGTGCCCTAACTGTGGTCGAAGCTATCGGTGGAGAGACAACCTTCGAAGACACCAAAGAGTGGAATGTGGAAAAGAAGCTTCTTTCTGGTGCTCTTTGTGTCCTTTCCGAAGCAAGCACAAACATAGCCTCCTTCGTCACTTGCATAACAGACATTTCACTACAGCAGCAGCTGCAGAAGCAGCTGTAGATCTTGCAATTGCATCTGTTGAACCACCTTCAAACAACTCAAGTGCTCAAAATCTTGATGGAAGTGCTCATAGCAGAGTCAACAATGAAGAGTATCAGAACTCATTTTAGCTCAGTAGTATATGACTCTTGATTGTTCAATCCATTCATCTGTGATGGCTAGTTGAAAAGTAATTTTTCATCTTCATAGCGATTCAAAATAACTGCAATGATCTTAATAACACTTTGCTTTAATCTTTATAACTCTCATCAAAGCACCTGTGAAACAAGTTTAGTGACTGTTAATTCTCTCTCATTAAGAGTTCCTCTCCCTCAATTCTGTGCTACATTTTTCTCGATGAACAGTGTCCTCTTTATTTTTCTGAGTGTTGATTGCATTTTATTTTCCTGGGTTTTGCTATGCTACCCATTGACAAACAATGCCAAGCAGACCTAGGAAAAACAAAAATGTTTGTACAGCTTTCATCTGTGATAATGCTATTCTTATTGTTGTAGGGAAGTAAGAATCTGTATCTGTTAGAATTTTATTACTTGCATTCATGAATAGACTGCAGTGTATGTTTCCAACTTGCAGCAAAAATCCTCCTCAGTGATATTTCATCATGTTAGCTGAGGCAAATTAACTACGTTCAGCTTGTTTTTAATGACAGGTTTTAAGTGACATGTACTCAATGGCAAAATTATACCAAAATAATTATTTTTTAAAGAATGTTGTGTTCTGTATTATATCGTATAGCACATCCCTTCTATGCCTTTTTCTTAGCTCCATTCCTATCTTCTCTGTGTTGTTATAAATCTGATTCTGTTCAGTGTGAGTCATGTCTAAGACTTCATGAAGTGAGCTTGATTTTTACTTGGGCAAGAATTGGGTTATTTTATTACTTGTATCTTACCGGATCTTTCAGTCAGTTTATTACTACCTAATTGCATGCTACTTTGTCCCATTGTACTGTAGTATACTAACTATGTTCAACTCTCTCTTTATCCACAGAAATTCCGGACATCTCCAAAATGGACGAAGAAACAAGAAAAATGTGGGTCGACTCCCAAGGAGAAATTGTTATGAGTGATTATGAACCCAACAAGAGGCGCTTTCACAACCATGGTGTATACCCATGCGATCGTTGTGGCCGCACTTACGTTCGCAAGGACTCGTTGTCTCGACACCTCCAATGGGAATGCGGTAAAGAACCACAATTTCAGTGCCCCTTTTGTCCTCAAAAGTGCAAACGTAAATCTCACCAACTAAGGCACATTCAGAGACAACATCAAGACAAGCTACATCTTATTAGTGATAGAGATGTGGATCTTCAAGAACTTGTGAAGTGAGAGAATAAGTAAAAATTTGAGTTGTACTGTCAGCAGATTAATTTGATTGGAAATTCCGAGAAGTTACCTCTCTTAAGTTTTCTATGAAATTCTTCTGAACAGACTTTTTCTGTACCATCAAACCACATTTTTTAAAAAAAATTTCCTCTTTCCTCATAAGGTCCCATTTTACACGAGCTATATTTTTGAGATTGCTACAGTGGAAATAGGAGACATTCGTATTAATTTTCATATAGTTTTGAGCTAATATTCTAATGTAACAATGCCACTCACAATTCATTTTAAAAAATGTATTTTTTCTGAACTAGTTCTTCTTATATAAGACTACATACATAGTTTTATTTTCTTGACGTGTTCTGATGTCCATCTTGAATTTGATGCTTGATACTGTGCGTTATTTTGTGACACATGTTGTAGGATTGTTTCTTTCCAATGATTTTACTTCATGTACCTATTACTTTTTGCTCATATTGTGTATCCTATCTGAGTGACCAATAAGTGTAAAATCCAATCCCCCCCCTTTTCCTGGTTTTGCCAACCACTTTCCTATATATTTCAATACATTCATGGAAGATAATTTATATTTTTTCACTTAATTTTAAGTGTGGTGGGTTCATTGTTAACCATATTTACATACTAATGAGCAAAGGGATAGAGAAAAGTTTGTTATTTATATTGACCTGGAATTTTTTTTTGTTTGTCATAATAGACTTTATCTTGTTCTTGTTACTACCAAGATTTAAATTTAAACCTTGTTAAATCAATATTTGACCCTATCATCTTGCAATGAGAGAGTTTCTTTTTAATTAATGTTTGCTTATATTGTTTTGATGTCATTCCTGAGGTGACCTTATAAACTTGTGAATAAATGCTATATATTTTTAGATTAGTAATTTTGATGTTATCACAACAACATAACCATTTTAAACTAGAGATTACCAATTACTTCTGAACCTTGGACCTGATGGCAGTGATGACCATTTTAATCTAAAAGTTGTGTGAATTGAATGATGTGCTGTTTCACATGTCAGGTACATGAAATTATTTATTTTAACTATTGTTTTATTCATGTTTTGATGTATTGCATTCAGTTTTGTGATTGTTGTGGGCCATACAATTCATCAGAGAGAGCAAATAGAGGAAGAGTGAAGGACATATTGTAACCATTTTGTTTACTGTTCAATAGTCACTACATCTTTCTGTTTGTGGTTTTGGAATAAAAAAAACTCTCACTGAGACACTCACTGTTGTGTCTTTTGATTTTTGGAGTGCATGTACTTGCTGTACCATGCTTTTTTTGTGGTGCTGGGCTCCATCTGTTGCAAGTGTTTCTTCTTTCCAAATCTAAAAAAGTCTTTCTATGCATGATAGGTGGGTGATTACTGGTATATTTCAATGAGCTGTGGGATACATTATTGTTCTGTATTTATGTGAAAATATCGTTTGCATGTTCATGAAATGAAGGCATGATTTACTGGATTTGTACTAACACTTATTTTGTCTTTTACAGGTGACAGTAGCAGAGAGAGCAGCCCTAAACGCAATAGCTGGGGAGGCGTTTGTGTAGTCAATTGGGAAAAATGGGCAATGCAACATCCTCTGATGCCAGCTATTTTAGCCCGAAGCAGTTCCCCTTTGGACTTGGGATCAGGCAGTTCTGTCCATTTCTCAAGTAGTGCAGCAAATGGATCGCCCTACAGTGGGAGCGGATCAGCTGAAAATTCTTTAGCAGCAGCTTCCCTCGATGACTTTGGACGTTCAGGAGAGAAAGCACAGGAATGTCCGCGTTGTGGTCGCCGCTACAAGCTGAAGAGTTCTTTACGTAATCACATTAAGTGGGAGTGTGGAAAAGAGCCCCAGTTTCAGTGCCCATTCTGTTCATACAGGGCCAAGCAGAAAATGCATGTTGTACGACATGTAGAAAGAATGCACAAGGAGAAAATTGGAGCATTTGGCACAACTGCAGATTAAAGTCAAAATAGGGTAACTGCTTCTATGCTCGGATTATTTTGTCAAATGGTTATGAATTTGAAATGTGTAATTGATAAAGCATTCCTCTATTTATTTTAGAAACATTTTACATCCGTCAGTATTAGAATTTAATACCCTCTTGTGTGTTTTTTGTTTGTTTCTCTTAAATGTGGCTGCTTGTTTGAGCAGAAACTATTTGAAATCATCTAATGAAGGTTTTTTTTTTTTTTTTTTATCTTGCATCAACTCTCTGTAAATTTTGATTGGTCCTTCTCTTGACTTTTCAAGAGCAGACTGTAGAATATATCTCAGTCAAGGTAAGGAGACCTTATATTGGAATGATATATATTTTCCAGTAATTTCAGTTGTTGTTGCATGTTCGTTAATGCAGCCCAGTTGAATCTAGAACAAATTTACTTTGATAATGTGATCTAGCACATCTAACATTTTTTGGGTCCTGGACATGTTCCTGTGGCTGTGTGCATGTAAAATGTTATTGGTCTTTATAGTTTCAAAATATCCTCTCTAGAAGTAAAGTGTAAAGTGCCTTATTCTTGAAATAGTGAATCACAATTTTGGTCCTTGATTCAGAATTTTGTACTCTTGGTAAAATATTTTCAAGCTTGTATAACTTGCTTTTTATAAGGTGATCTTTTTGTAGACTTTTTGTGCTGATAGATGCTGATCTCAAGTGTCCTTGATATTAATGGTTTTTATGTTTACTTCCATTTGTGATCTGACGAATAAGCTTTATGAAAAAGAACAGTCTTACATGTATTCATTCCATTTCTTTTCAATCTGCTTTTGTGCTGTTAATCAACTACTTCTTTTTGCCGTGTTTATGAAGCAGTAAGTAGGAATATTTTAAAAGGAGGCTCTATATTTAAGTTTGAACTGTTTGTCAATAAATTATTGCCAACTCTTTGTTAAGAAACCCCTCACACTTTTTTGAAAAAAAAAAGGTGTAACCTACTAGCAGTATTTGATTTAGTTTGCCTACTGATCCAATAACTTCTTCCATGTCACCATATTCCGGTGACATTTTTTGACATTCTGAAATATTTGTTTTGGTTTGTGCTCTCTTCAACTTTTTGACTGTACATTCCTTTTATTCATTGTTCTGCTCATATGTATGTCTTCTTTGTTATTGTTAATAGTGATGTTTTGACTGGAAAGCAAGTGAAACGCTTCTCAGGTGTTAGGCCCGTTATGAATGCAGAGAGTGCAGCTTGTGTGGTTTCCTTCTTCGTAGCACATGGTAACAAATTGCAGGAGTAGGTAGCACAAAAACGTGCAAGTGATATTCCCCTCCCCCTATTTACTTCACTTCTTCCCCTCCTGCTGTATTACCTTTTTTAAAAAAAATTTAATGCTTATTGTTGTATTTTATGCTCATCTCGTAGAATTAAGTTTCATCTACTAACTTAAACGGTAATGTTTAGGGAGAAAGTGCTGTGAACAGTTGCTTACTCCTGTTCTTTTTATATAATGGTGTGTGTCTGCCATATTTTTAAGTATGGCCTTGATCAAGTATGATAACGGTTTGTTTTGTTTTCTTACCTTGAGGGGGCTAGCATATGTATTTTGTCGTTTCTTGTCCTCAACATATCGTACTTGCAGAAGACATGGCATTGTCTCCTCTTGATTGTCTGTTTCATTGTAAGGCAATGAAGTTAGTTTTGAAATCCCTTTTACTTTTACTGATGTGCTTCTAAAGCTGAAAACTTAGTCTGATAATTGGGGTGGCTTATTGGGATCTGGTATGGAACGGCTAGTTAATTTCTAATTTGTTACTGTAAAATCTTTTATTTATTTATTTATTTATTATTTGTATGCCTGATTTTCAATTTAATGCAAGTCGTTCACATGTTCAATGTTGTTGTTTCTTATCCTGAGTAATCTGTCCATGAAAGGTACTACTTTTCCTTTTTATGCAATTAGGGGCTTGGGTAAAGCTGAAACGCCTCTTGTTTTTGGTTGTTCTTGTTTTTACTGAAAAGTTTTTGTAGTAATTCTCTTGATGAGATGTGGAGTAGATAGTGGATCAGTATATAAGTGTCCAGTGTTCACACAATCACTCACTGGATATTTTGTAGAAGAGCCACTTGAGACCTAATTGTAAGTTGCTTTTTTTCTTTACTTTTAACTTTGTTTTTGTAGAGTATAATTGCAACTTCATGTTAGTTCCTCTCTGTGGAGACATTCCATCTGTGTTTTTGTGTTTTATTTATTCAGGAACTTGAGACGTATTCACTTGAAAATTTTTTGTTTTGACTCGTCAGCATGATACAAGCACTGTTGCCTAATGCTGGGGATTGGATGTGTTGTTGGTAGTGTTATTTCCTTTCTTTGTAATAATAACATTTTATTTCTCCATTTGACTTTTGTTGAGACTATATTCTATAATTGTAGGTGCTTCATAAGACAAATGCTTGTGGTTTTGGGATCAGGATTATTCCAGCAAAATGGCAAAAAGTATTAACTTCCAAAAATAATGTGTGGTATTGGTGGCTGTAAAGAACTGTGACTTTTGAAAGAGTTCAGAGATAAAGAAATGTGTTACAATTTTTCAAAAAAAAAATTTGTTTGTTTTTTATTTGCAGGAACTTGGTAATAAAGAAAAGTAAAGAACAAATTGGGATTTTATTAACTAACTGTTAAGACTTGAGCCCATTTAATTTGACTCTTTTTAAATGTGTTTGTACATGATCTTTAAAACATAATATTTTGCGAACTGACAGTGAGTTTTGTCTTTCTTCAGGAAGTACTGAATTTATGTTAACTTTGTCTGGAAATATGGTGGACACTCATTGGGTGTGCCCACGGTGTGCCCACAATGATATGTAATGTAATTCGAAATCTGCAGTGATATAAACAGCACTTACATTTGTCTCAACGGAAACGATCGATGATGAGCCATTTAAATACGGAATGCGGCAAGGAACCTCAATGGAAGTGTGGAATGTGCAAATATCAAACTGAAATCAAGTCAAACTTGAAGCGTCACTCAACATTTTACCATCTAAAAGCATCACCTACATAAGCCTTTTCAATCAGAATTTTTTTTATTTTATGAAATGATTGGGTGGAGTTAATGCTTCCCTATTTGGGAACTATCTATCCTTTTATGGCCTGTTCATGTTACATTTTCTTATGAAATACAATGTTGAGGATTTCAGAGTGACAGTTTTGTAACTTAACTTGCATGCAGTGTCTTTCTTTATGGACTTAAATTAAATTGACTCAATCAAATTGAAAGTTATTTGAAGACTAATGTTTGTTTCTTTAATGCAAACGCACTGCTTTCCTTAACTGTATTTTATCTGTGTTTCGCAGTCTATCAGAGCTTCTTCGAATCACGAGCCGCAATTGAGGATCGCAGGGATGCATTAGTATGTCCCACCCCTGGATGTAAACGTAAATACTACTGGAAGAACTCTCTCAAGCGCCACCTTCGGGAAGAATGTGGGCTTGAGCCTAGATTTGAATGTCCTCAATGCTCCCATAGGACGAAACAAAAAGCCCCCATGTTGAGGCACATTCGAACTCAACATAAAGACCTCTTTTCAGGGCCTACCTTTGTGACAAGACAACCAGCATTTTGATTTAAACATGTACTTTTCTCTAAACTTTTACATTGTGCTTTTGTTTGTCTTAATTTTCTGGCATTCAAAGTAAAAAAAAAGTTGTAATAAATTGCAATGTTTTGTACTTAATAATAACATATTCCCTTGGCCCCATACCCCCTCAGAGTTATCTATGCCCACTTATTTTGAAATCAAACTGATGGATGTCTTTTTGTTGCAGGGGAGCTGGAAGGTTCTTCCATTCAGGTCCCCAAACCAGGTGTCATTTCGGTCAAGTCTACTGCTGTTCTGTCGGGTGTCACACCTATGGATGTAGAATCACAAGCAGTGCAAGTGGCCACAACTGTAGAAATCTCTGGCCTGCAAGTTGTTGCATATGATGTGGGAACTGTAAATCAATCCTACATATGCCCTTCTCCTAATTGTGGAAGAGTATATCGTTGGCAATATACCCTCCTTCGTCATTATCGAGAAGAGTGTGGGCGCGAACCTCGATTTCAGTGCCAGCTTTGTAATCATAAATCTAAACAAAAATCTACTTTAGTACGACATATGTGGAGCGCACATAGAGTTCTTGATCACGGCATATAGGGCAATACTATAAAGAGGGTTTTCAGGCACTGCATGTTATGAAATTAGATCATAAAATTTGAACTGAAAATCAGCAGTTCGTTTATGATTAAATCACTGGGAATAGAGCTCTCATTTACTTTGTCTGCCTTCTTCTTGACATGTCATTGCTAATCAGAACTCTATTGATAGATGTAAGTGTAATGGGATTGACAGTTTATGAAAGTAAATCTGATGTTGTGGGATGTATTTGCTGTTAAATTCTTACAACAAAGAATAAAATTTAATGTGAATGATGATTCCCTTCACGTATTGTTGCTAGTTTTGTCACTCATACTTTTGATGTTCATGTTCTCCATGAGTTTCTTGCCACCTTATGATGACAATTTCGATAATTATTCCATCAATTTTACAGCTTATGGTTGGTGGTTGGTCTGATCTTAAAACAATTGTTTTCTTTGCAGGGTCCCACATAGTTTCTGCCTCCTGCCTTGAAGCTTCTGAATTGTCAGAAGGATCTCAACATCTGTTCCAGCCATTTTCAATGCCATCAGATTTGCATTCAAACCAAGAGGGGAATTCGCAGAAGAAGAGCAATGTTTGCAATACATGTGGTAGAGCTTATAAATGGCAAATATCACTTCAGAGGCACATGCGTCTAGAGTGTGGTCAGGCTCCTAAATTGCAATGTAACATATGTATGCGGTGCTTTCGACATAAGCATCATTTAAACTCGCATTTGTTGACTCATCGTCGCAATATTGTAACGTACTCAGAGAAAACTTGAGATGTACAAAATCTTAATGATGCAGTTCAATGATGATGTGTCATTTTCATAAAGTAAAGATTACCTACTTCCTTATGATGTACCCATTTTGGTTTATATAAGGGTTCAAAGGGTATATGTATGGGTTTGAAGGATATTGTATAACTAGCAACCTGGCCTTCTCCAAACATTATAACTGTTTCACTATCACTATTTGTTGTACATGTTGCTACAAATAAAGACAAATAATGGAGATAAATTGCTGTTTCAATATCTTTGAAAGATCAAGACACCAATAACATTGACTTAAATTTTATGCTTAATTTCTAATGTGTTGTCATCTTTCTTTTGCCTTTCCAGAACAGAGGAGCTTGATGACCAGAAACAGTGAGAGGAGACAACATTTAGATGTGGATTTTCTATTTATTTCCAGTAAAGCCCAAAGTAATGCTTTTATGTGCCCTCAATGTGGAAAATCATACTGTGTAAAGCATTCACTAACTCGTCATTTGAGATATGAGTGTGGCCAGCAACCAAAACATCTCTGCACAATGTGTGGTAAAAAGTTCAAGCACAACTATGATTTGCAAATTCACATCAAGAAATCGTGCAAAGAATTTGTTTCCTTAATTCAGTAATGGTCTATTTCTTTATTTTACTTGGAATTTCCTAACTGGGTCTAAAGAAGAAAATGTCCTCATTTTAGAAAGAAATACTGTCTTCATTGGTGTGAATTTTTTTTTTAAAGAGATGGATGAAAGTGGAATGCTAGTCTATTGTTGTTTCATTTTAGACTGTTATTAAACATGTAGGTCTTGAATGTAACAAAATAAAGGTGATATTTTTCATGGACTTTAGTTTTAGTTACATTTCCTTAAAGATGCAACCGCCTATCCGAATCTTAAATGGTAGTTTCAGTTAACTCGCAGTTGCTTTTACAGTGGTCTACAAGGATGCTGCAGCAATATCAAATGTGCCTCCGAACATGCTCTAAAAAAAAGGAAAAGTCAGTACCTGTGGGTGCTGTAAATATGCCTGTGAAGTTCTTCAAAATTGAAAAGGAAGTTCATTCAATTTACCACATGTCCATTGTGTTCAAACTGGTAACCTACTGGGAGAGGAGGTCACAAACTGAAAAATAATCAAACTCCTGGCATATAGAATTGAAACTATCAGGACCTGGTAATAATGACATTCACAAAGTTAATGCGAATGGTGAAAGTTAGTGGCGACTCACAGAAGAAAACTGAAATCAGACACAATTTCGTAATGTCCTTAGTTACTCAGGAATTCTTGTATTGTTTACATACCATATTTGGGCATATTGTTCAGTTACAAGTCCCTGAAAATCAGTTCTGTTATAGCACTAATCTTGTGGGCTTAAATAATAGTTTAAAAAAAAAAAAAAAACAACCTTCATTGCGAACAAATATATATTTACAGGGCTTTTCATTTTACAAATATTTTACATCACACCATATTTGCACTAGACTCAAAACAGGAAAGTGCTATCTGAGGGCAGGACAAGCATGGCATTACAGGGTAAAGAATGTAACAGTAACATGACTTCTGGTAGTCTAAATTATTCACACTCGGCAAATGAGATGTAATGAATACTTTCAGAGGGGGAAACAGAACATCCTCAGCCAACATCAAAGATATATACAATATTTACAGTGAATTTATTATTATTAGATATTTACATACCCTTTCCATTGAAGCCACTTCAGTTCAATTGACCATTTGCAATGTGCGTTTGATAAAAAGTGGTCCCAAGCCATTGTGGTCTAATTAATCATAATGCATTTTATAGTGGAATACAGATCACCTCGCCATTTCATCTTTTGATGATTGTAATTTGTAACAAAATGACTGTTTGATGTTAACAAGTTTAGCTGCAAGGTGATTTTTTTCACACTTTTTCTGCTTGTCTGACTGTTGTGCAATCTGTCAGCTTCGGGTTTGTGAAAGTGCTGTTATAATATTATGCAAGAATGAAAGACACCCAGATGACATTAGGACATAAATGGAATGTATAGTACACATTATAAAACATAAAAATTTACTTTCTTCAAAATGCAGGAAAATATTGAGTCAATGCAGTAGGTTTGAATCCTGCTTTCGCAATTGACCACATGTGAACTGATGGTGATAAAAACCATTAGTGAACAGTTGATAGAAGACTGACAGATCAACATAACAAGCAGCAATTTCAGAAACAATGTGGGTTTTCCGTACCATGGAATGTCAAAATTTAAGCAACTAGTGCTGAAACCATTCAATTGGAGAAAGGCTAAAATCTTTTTCTTGTAAAAACGCAACATTGATCAAATATGATCTTTGATGAAAGAGTTTTTTTGAAAACAAAAATCTTCATACCATGAATGTGGCACTAATTTAAGTTTATTCCTTAAAATATCAAGTCACGCATTTTATAAAAATGCTATATAAATCTTCATCTCATAGTTGGCTTGCTTTTCACAAACAACAATAAAACAATACGCTATCGGTGATAGTCAAAGGAAGTTTTTAGCTGCTAGGTGTGTAAGTACCAACACTTAAAAAATGATCGAAAATGCTTCACCTTAAACAATATTGATGTATAACATTGAAGTCGCAAATCAGATTGAAAGAGCAATTATCATGATTGATCAATTTAAGGTGAGCATTTACAACTTGGCACATCATTTTTAAATATAAGTCCATTGCTGACCAGCTGAATTTTGAATGGAGGCATATGCCTCTTCACCTGATTTGAATTTTAAAGAATACAGGGAGAGCCCCATAAACATCACCACTGTCGAAACTTTACTACTATGTTCAGTAGTAAAAGGTATGTACTTCTCTCTGTCAGCAAGAATCTTATCATCACATATGAAATAGAAACACATCTATACAGAACATACCAAATAACAATATAAGCTAGAGAAAATAGTCTCAACAAAGCAGAAGCATTTAGTTAGCTAAATTACACTAAAGTCAATTGAATTACTGAAGAAAAATGTGCCAGGAATATTAAAAATATGACACTGCCCTATTCTTATGGCATATACCAGTCTTTCGTTAAGTTTCTGTCAGAGCCAGAGAAAAAGAAGTCACAATACTACAAATTTTGGAAAATACCTTTTCTACATCAGCAGGCCTGAAAGTAAAGGCTTACAATCACTCTTGTTGGCATCTTTAAATGAGCTGAAGCATTGCCTCTCAAGCAATACAGGAAATTAGCAAAAATCGGCAAAGAAGTGAGCAATGGCAAGAAGCAGCACTGCAAGCAATTTTACAAATGGAACTCAGCAGGTTTTAAGCTCAGAACATAACAGTTCTCTTTTAAATTTGTTTTAACATGTGAGGAGGTTGCTCCACAGTAAAGGAATGGGAACAAAGTACAAAGAACCAGAAGGCGCAGGACTTCAAAAAGCTCAACTTTCTAATCATGCACTCTTGCCTTCCTAAGGAAATGTAGTTCCCATAAAGAATTTGGTCAAACAACATGATGTTTTCATGCAATGATAACATGATCTAAAATTAGTGGGATGAAGATAGAAAACGTAGATCAGTCAAAATATATATCTACACCAAAAACAAAACACTATCCTCAATATATCTTACGTGCTCTATCAATTTAAGTAGCAGAACAGCTCTCTTGAGAATTGATGTAAGGAATTTAACATTATGAGAATACTATTTAAATTGTCAAGGATTAAAATCCTTTAAGAGTTACATTTAACTGTAAAGACTAAAAAGCTTGAGACAATCTTTTCTTTTAGCAATATAAATCCTACATAAACCTATACAAAAATATTTCAATATTTTCTAGCATTGTGCTTGGAAATAAATAAATAAATAAAAGGATGTTTAATTTAGATCGGTCTTTCTCACTTGCAAGTTTCTACAAAGGGCAAAAAGTCAGCATGAAAACGTTATTTGCAGTAGGCAAAAGAGGGGACTACAATAATTAAGCATAAGATAGACAGGACCATTTTAGAGCTATGCAAACTGAGGACAATGGAAAGAATCTCCTGCGGCTTCATACAGCTTAGTGAAACATCACAAAAGCATTGTAGTTCACCTTAGGTGAAAGATTAAGTTCTTAAATCAAAAGACTCTGTAACAGACAAAAATAGAAACAACAACAACAACAACAAAAAATCAAACAACACATTACAAAGAAAACATTGTAAATCAAATATATGTGGTGAATAAACTATTTTTAACAACCAGTAGCAAAGTCCACAATATTTTATTTAATTTAGCCAAAGGTTCCTTTTGCACAGCCCTAAACATAACACAAAACAACATGAGAGAGAGAGAAGACGAAGAAGAAGAAGAAGAAGAAGAAAAAGAGCATACATCACAATTTATCACACGTCAAGCGTAATGCGCAAGACATTCCAATCATGCACCACTCTCAGTCATTCCTAACAATCATACCATGATCATTTGCTCACAACTGTTTTGTAAGTACGGATGCTGAGACTAATTACTATAAAAATAAAGAACTTAATAACAATGTAGTAGCATATTCCTACAATCCAATGCGCACTTGCCAATGAAAATGCAGCTCTTCCTTCCTTGACACTTTAAAAGAGTAAAGAGCAAAGTAATTTTTTTGGCATACCATTCAGCACATTAAAATAGGATGTAGCAAAATACTCATGCAACATAAAGTATGAAGTCACAACATTAGGATGAAATAGAAGTTGTTTCCACTTTCCACATTCGTATATGATTCAGAGATCAAAAAACTGCTACAGCATAGATTGGGCTATGTAGCAAAATCAGCCTTGTCCCAGCCCACTTCCGGAGTTATGAAATCAGAATCCATGGCGTCCAGACTAAAGAGGTCAAGTGGATCCTGATTGTTCGGCAAAAGAGGATCATACGAATCAATGTGAGTGTGCCCATTCATATGAATGTAAGAACTACTAGATGATGGAAGAATAGAGGATTGGTTAAGAGATGAGTTCTGATCTGATGGTTCAGCAAGCTGATCACTAGAAGCTGTCAGCGAATCAAACCAAGCAGGGTCCATGTCCATGTCCATGTCAAAATCCATGAATTCACATGGAGTTGCAAGAAGTTGGTCAGCAAGCTGCTGGTGCTGGCTTTGCTGGCTTTGCTGTCTTTCCTGCTGATTGAGGAATGATCTTCTGTCAGGTTGATTGGACAAATTATCAGACTCAGCTTCCATATTCATGTCATGTGACTCAAGCCTCACCTCCTGGCCAGAGGGATGACTGGAAGTGTCAAGCTGACCAAAATCCATGGGATCTGAGATCTCAATATCAAGGCCCAATGCTTTCAGGTCAACACTGGTTGCTGGAGGACCACTGCTTCCAAAAATGTCATCGAGTGAATTGTTCCCGCCCCAGAGGCTGAAAGAGGGCTCTTTAGAGACATTACTCCCTGTGCTAGTAAGGGGCAATTCTGTGGGCAACATTTTAGCAAAGGAGGTGTGAGGCAGAGGTGGTGGTGGAGGCGGTGGCGGTGTGGATGAGGCCGGGGGCGTACTCTGCACTGAGGCAATGGAATGTTCCGGGCATTCAGCAGCCCCTGGGCCAACAGTCGCTGGGCTGAACACATTCATGAAAATATCAGCATTGTCTTGCGTGCTATTAAACACCCCACACAGATTAGGGTTGCTGGAGTGGTGCCCCGGCTGTCCTGACACTGAGTTGGTCCCTGGGGTGGTTGGCGTTGTGGGGTCTTGAGCGGCACTGGGAGGCAGCTCACCTCTTTCAATTAATATTGCAAGGACATCGTCAACTGATTGGCTCTGCACACTATAACGTTCAGAGCAGCTCTTTTCATTCACAGGTTCCTGCAAACCATAATACAGAAATTTGTATACCAGGTTATGAAATAGCTGGCAAAAGTTCAGTGAATGCCAATATAATGTCAAAATACCTGTTTAATACTTGTTAAGAGTGAGGCCACATCTTCATATTGGGGCAACTTGCTACTATTATTTGAAGGCAAGTTGAGTATCATTCCATCTGCTAAAGATACTGGAACAACACCATTTGTAGTAGCCATGATAGTGGCAGTGCCACTGGCAGCAGAGCTGGCAGCAGCAGGTGCTGTTGTCAGTGTCAAAATATGTGGTTCTGCTGTCGTCCTAGTTAAAACCAGGCGGTGAGTGGGTAGTACAGCAGGCTTCACTTCAACACCCTTGTTGCTTGTCATTGGGGTAACAGAGCTGGCACGTTGTTGACACATTGGAAGTGGCTTTGGCTCTATTGAAGGTGCCAACTGGACCATTGATGCCAAGAAGTTGGGAAGAGAATTTGTCCTGAGGTGAGAAAATTGCCGTTAGTTTCCCAGTTATTTTAAAATACCAATTAACCATACAGTTACAATTCTCTTTCACCTCTGGTGATTAGAGTTGGCTCCAGTAATTCCAGATAGTGCAGATAAACTTGGTAAGCCTTTTTTATTTTGAGCGTTGATATGGTTGAGGACTAGTGCAGCAGCAGCAGCTGCCTGTTGTTGTTGCAGTTGATGCGGTGGCGGTGGAAGAGACTGCTGTACATGTTCAACTTGTTGCAATTGTGGTTGCACAACTAAAGTTTTTGAAAATTTCTTATTTATGAGATTGTTGTTCAGATTATTTAGACTGTTATTGTTGTTAATGATGGTATTATTATTGTTATTATTGGTATTGTTGTTGCTATTGTTTGAGGGCAAAGAAGATTGCTGCTGCTGTAAAAATGCAGCCAAGCTTGCCTTAGCATTCAGTCCCTGCTGCTAAAATTAAAAGCACCAAGTAGAAATTAACATAAAAAATGCAGTATAGTATGGCTTTCTTTCAGGCACACAAATGCATACCTGTTGCTGTAAAGCCAGTTGCTGTTGCTGCTGCAACTGCTGCTGTTGAAGTTGCTGAAGCTGTAGAACTTGCAGCTGCTGTTGCTGCTGCAATTGTATTTTATTTTGCAAATGCTGTTTGACAGCTGCCTTGCTAGGATCCGACAGGCTTGTTGATATTCCATTTGTTCCACTGGCTGGTATGATGGTAGCAGCATCAGATGTCTTATTGGCTAGTTTCTGCAGAATGAAAAAACCATGTTCAATGAAATAAAATTTTCTAGGAGTCAATCGAGAAGATGAACTCGATGGTCTCCATCTTCTTTGCTAATTTCACATTAAAAGATAGAAGAGTGTCCAATGGCCTACCCGACTGTTAATTTCCTTGGCTCGGAGAATCTCTTGTTGTTGTTGTGATTGAAGTAACTTAACCTGCTTCTGAAGTTCTTTTATTTGCCTCTGCTGTTCCCTTATCAAATCCTCACGAAAGACTGGGCTTGGAGCTGGAGAAATGGGGGTTGTGTCCATTTCATGAACAGAGCTGCTTGGTGAAGGTGTGGCAGGAGGAGAAACTGGGGACATTTGTTGATTATTGATGGAGCTGGGTGTTGAGTCTGAGGTTGTTGTAGCCGATGGAGCTGCGAATGATGGTTGTGGAGGAGAGGGCTGTGATGCTGTATCAGCTGAAAAACCTATGGACATAAAAATTTTCAGCATCAAATAAGAGCCTGCTTATAATCAAAAGCAAAACTTAATTCTGCAGTAAAAGGTAGTTAGTTGTGAAAAAAGTCAATGCAAACACTGCTAATTTTGACATTCATGCAAAACAAACAGTTTGCTTTATTGGTTTCTTTAACATTATGAGTTAACAAGCAAAATAATCTAAGCAGTCATCACTGCAAATCCAGGTGATTTAGTATCATAGAAGAAAGTATGAAGGTCTCAACTCAAAAAATAATGTCTTTAAAGAAAATTTCAATAAATGAAGGTATTTATTACCAGACAATGAATCCTCAGTTGAGGAGTGGGGGGTATCCATTGTGACATCCATTTGAATATCCATTGGCTGGGCAGCTAGACTGCTTTCAGTAGATGAAGTATGTGAAGCAGGGCTGTTACAGTCAGCAGCAGCAGCAGCTGCTGCCGCCGCATCCGCATTACGAATCCTTTCAATGAGTTGAGGCTTTGATCCAGACACAGGCAAATTCCGCTTTTTCAGTTCCATTTTTAAATCACAAACTGAAAATAAAACCACACATAGTTCACTACATTTGAAGTAACTATGTAAGGTTACAGACCTCGGAGTGAAGTAGTAAAGAATGAACATTGAGAGAAATCCTTTTCAGGATAAGAATGAAGAAACATCGAAGAAGAAGAGACAATTAGTAGGATTTAAAACATAATAGAATATTCTCAGTTTAAAAACATAGCATTAAAATTACACATAATATTATTATTTTTTTGGTTTAATCTCTCAATATTTTGAGCAAAAAGATAGAAGTGAGTAGGTAAGTCATTCCAAAATCATTATTTACACAATTCCTCAAACAAAACAAAAAGAATTAAAAATACCACCAACAAAGCCATAACATTAAGCATTTAAAAAAATCACACACATAAAAGTAGATAAGAAAAATCTGATGATTTACCTTTCATATCCTCTAACTTGCTAAGAATCTTGATTGAGGTCGGTAATTGAGGTACTGTCTGCAGAGTAGGTTGAGCGGAGAGAGTGGGGACAGAGGCAGAGACACCAGGGGAGATAGACGGAGGGGCAGTTTGGAGAGGCTCGAGAGAAGGTTGGGACACTTGCAACGAAGACTGCAATGCAACTTGTGCTTGCTGCTGTTGTTGTGGAGGTAAAGTTACAGTGATTGTTTGGGGTGCAGGAGCAGGTAGAACAGTAGCTCTGGCACTCTGAGGGCTTGCACTACGCTGTGTTGTTAAGACTAATGTGCCACTGCCACTGCCCACTGCAATAATTACACAAAAATTAGAATCCTGTCGAGCCAATTTAAGTCATTTTTTTGTTGCGTTTTAAGATATTTGTTCTTATACTTACCACCAAGTATAGTACCAGCAGTACTTCCAAGAGAATTGACTGCAACACCCGTTGCAGAGCTTGGGATACTAGATGTTACAGTTATAAGACCTAGTTGAGTACCGTTGCTAGAAACACCTGCCACAGATGTGACAGGTGTTTGTGTCTGACTAACAGAAACACTGGACCCTAAGGAATTGTTTGAAGAACTGCTTGAGACTTCTGTGCTAGACGATGATTTCTGAGTAGCTGGCAAGATAATTTGAGGGTACTAAAAACAAAATATAAAGGTAATTGTTAACATAAAACAAATGCTGTGCAGAATACAGAGGATATTGATTTACAAGTTTACCCACCTTGTGCAGCCAATCCAGCTGGCACTGCAACAAGAGCTGTTGCTGCTGTAATAACAGTTCGTATGAGGTTTCAACTGGCGACGAGCTCAAAACACTTGTTTTATGAGCGTTGGGCGGGCCCTGTGAACATCCAAAACATAAATTACATAAACAAGAAACACAAAAATAAAAACAGCTTCAGCAGAAGAGCGTTCTGATAAGGCATAATTAGTGTGTAAATGCACATAAGAGGGATCAATACATGCCTTATACTCATGAAACTTCATAGGCCTCGTTTTGGTCTGCGTCTTGCTCTTGGACTTCTTCCTGTTCTTGTCCTTGCCGGGGGCTCCGGACCGCATGGCCTCTTGCTGCAAGGGCAGCGGTAGGCTGTGGGTATGGGAGCCGAGGGGCCCGAGGCTCGGGGTGGGGACTGGGGCGGGCGAGGCCAACTGAGGCGGCCGCGGGGTGATGGGACTCGGCACGGAGCAGCTCGGGGGCGAAGACACGGAGCTCAGCGAGCTCAGCGGACTCAGGCTGGACGTCGAGGAGGCCAGGGAGGAGGCCAGCGACATGGGGCTCGGCACCGTGGCCAACGAGGACCCTGTGCTGCCACACAGCGTCTGCAACGGCAAAAGAACGTATACATGAACATGTTTCCTGTCCATGGCCCCACACTAACCAACCAGATAGACAGCCTTTACCTGCAGCGACGCGCTGGCGCTGGGCGGCCTCGGCAACGCCGCCTGGTGCTGCAGCATGTGCGCGGGGGAAGTCACCACCACCGTGTTGGGGCTGCCGATGGACAGGGCCAGCGTCACGATGCCCGCGTTGGCGGCGGCCGTCTCCAGCACGTCCGCGCCCGACAGCCTCCTGGGCACGAGCAGGGTGGCGGCCGTGGCGGCCGTGGCGGCGCTCACGGGCGGCGGCACGGAGGCGACCAGGGTGGCGGGCGTGGCGGGCGTGGCGGGCGTGGGCAAGGGCGGCGACGCCGTGGGCATGACGGGCGCCGGCACGAGGGGCGACGGCATGAGGGGCGTCGGCGTGGACGCGGGTGCCGGGGCGGGCGTGGGGGCGGACCCTGGCGGGGACAGGACGCTGCCTTCCCCGGAGCTCTGCGAGTCCTCGTCCATCGTGATGTAGCGGTGCGGGTGCGCCGGCTTGGTCTTGTGGCCCTCGCATGTCGCCTTGAAGGGGATGACGCCGTCTGCAACGAGAGGAACGCGTTAGCCACGCGGTTGGTTCAGCAAATCAAAGCAGCAAATCAAGGCCTGGCGTCCTGGCCATGTCCTGGCCATGCCGCAGCATGCTCACCTTTGACTGCCCGCTCGATCGTCTCGTCGGCGTGCAGAATGTTCTTCTGAATGAGTTCCAGCGGCCCCGGCCGGTGGGCCAACTGGTCGTTGAGCGAATCCGCCAGCCTGCACTTCTTGAGCATCCGCTGCCGCTCCGCCAGGGACGGGTCCACGTGGTCCATGTCGGCTGCGGAAGACAGGAACGCAGCACGCGTCAGTACGCGTCAGTCGGGGTGGCACTCAATCGAGAAGAGAAAGACCAACACACGAGCGGACAACGCACCTTCCAAGATATGTTGTCTGACGAGCTCCTGCCGATCGGGCCGCTGCTGGATCTTCGCCTTGAGCAAGTCGCCGGTCTTGGCGCGCTCCAGCTGCTTGCGCTGCTCGTGGAAGGCGGGTGGCGTTTTGAGGGCTGGAAAGAAAAGAAAAGGAACGCATTAAAACTCCGAGGGGAGAGAAAGCAACAAGACAGCTAGTTATCGGCGCGCACTGCTACTTACGAGGCATTATTCCTTGAGCCACCAGTTGCGTGTAAGGCCTTCTCAGCATGAGTTTTACTTTCAAAGCTGAAACAGGAAAACAGTTGACGCTTAATCGACAATAACCCATGTCCATCACCTTCGTTCATCCCACACCCCGCCTACATCGTAAAAGTGGCCCACCGCCGGCGAGCCGGTCGTCTAGCGCGTCGACGTCTAGGCCTGCCTGCCCTGCCTGCCTGCCTGTCCTGCCACATGGTGGCCGAGCCAGGCCGAGCCGCCCTCGTGGCAGCCAGCGGCAACGCTGCCAAGGAAAGGGACCCCGAGTGCCTGCACTGCACTGCCCTGTACTGCCCCAGCCGCGGACCGCACAGTCTCCGCTACTTCCTGGGAATAAATCCCCCCCCCCTTTCCACACACCGCGGCACCGCTGCACCGCGGCACCGCCTCGTTGTGACTCGCGTGGGCGACGTGGGCGCCGCCATAACGCCGTAACTCGCGGCTCACTTGGGCCCGTCGGACACCACCTACCCTCTGAGTCACAGTGCCCCGCCCCGCCCCGCGTGCCACCTCGAGGGGCGGCGGGGCGAGGCACAGTGCCCCGCGGACAGACTAACGCCTATGGGGTGTCGCACCTCGGGCCGCGCCGCACCGCCTGTCGCGCGGCCTTCCTCCGCCCTCCCCCGCCGGTGAGGGCGGGGCGGCCCAGCAGTCACTCAGCCGAAATGTGGCACAAGGCCGGGCGACATCATCCCGTGGCCGCGGCGCTGCCGTGCCGCCTTCCGTACCCCATTTGTAGACTGTCACGGGTTCGACTCCCCGCCCTGCAGTCCGCGCGACCCGTCACTCTGTCGAGTCGCCGAGGCGAAGACTCGATTGGGAGCATTTCTCGTTAGTCTCTACGGCCCGCGGTAAAGGACAGTCTGAGAAGACGAGGACGTCGTCGGCCATGGCGGCGACACGGCGGCGACACGGCGGCGACATCGGCAGGCTACCGCGGCCGCCACACGGCCATGCACTTGTTGCGCCGTGAGGCGGAGTGGCGGTGGAGCCGCGGGGGTGTGGCGGGGCGTCGGCGTGTAGGCGCGTCGTGGCTCGGACCACCCTCAGACACGTGCATTTCGTAACCACAGCTGCAAAGGGCCCGGTCGGCGCCGGCCCACTCCCCGGTGCCAAAAACAATAAAATGGACGCCTTCTTTTAGAGCCGCGACAATTCTTTCCCCCTTGTGAGAGCGCGAGCGCGAGCACGGGGGGAGCTCTCTGCCGGAACGGTGGCGCCTGCCAAGACCATCTGTCGGCAAAACAATGCGACGGGCAGCCCTGAGCCCAGGCCAGCCCGGGGACCAAGGGATCGACAAGCACCTGCCGTGCCCTGCCCTGGACAGCGCTGGCGCGAGGCTTCGTCGAGCAGGCCGCCGAGTAGGCCGCCTCGCCTCGCAGCGATAGCCGCCTGCGAAGGTTGGGGTAGGCAACGCGCGGCGCACGCCTGGCCGGCGGCACGGCCTACGTGCTTTGCCGCGGGCGCTCCCTCCAGCGGGGTGGCCGCGCCGCCGGGGCCGGGAGTCGTTCTGTTTCCCTCGCACCCCTACAGGGATCCCCACGAGTGCGAGCGAGACAGAGCGACTCTCGAAATCAATCAGCCGGCCAGCACTGCAGCATGCGCTGCCGCGCGATAGCGACATGTGGGTCAGGCCGCGACTCAGACTTGGCGACGCCGCGCAGCGCCAGGGTCGCGTGGATCCTGGGAACGGCCTGCGGCTGCCTGCGGCTGCTCGGACGCCCGGCCGCACAGCCAGCCTTCATTGACATGGGAGGCGAGGCGTGCTGCCTGCAGGCTGCCTGCAGGCTGCCTGCCGCGGGACACGTCTTGCCATCTCTGCGTCCAGCGGCGTCCTGCGCAACCTGCACTGCACAGCCTGAGCCTGAGGCGACAGGCGCGCCTCCTCGCCGCCCTCTCCGCCCAGTCCGTCCTTTCCGCCACCCTCGCCGCAGCGCTGCCGTGCCCTTCGGCCAGCCCTTCGGCCAGCAGGCTCATTCCGAGAGTCGTTTTCATCGCTCCGTCTCTATCGCGTCTACACGGGACGCCCCATGAGAGCGAGAGAGACGGCGCGATGAAAACGACTCTCGGAATCAGTCTGCAGGCCGCACACCGCACTCCGTGCACGCCGCGCTGGCCTGGCTTGTTGGCTGGCCACTGGGGCGGGCACGGCGGGCACGGCGGGCGGCAGCCCCGCGGCCCGGCGGAATGCCTCGGCGCCACGGCAGCGATCGCCTAATTCCTCTTCCCGAATGCCAAGCTTGCGCGGCTTGCGCTAGCGCGCTAGCGTCGCGCGAAACAATGGGCTCAAACCCCTCAAACCCCGACAAGAGGCGTGTTGCTCTGGGCGCAACAAAAGCGCAAAAGTGAGGGCAGGACAGACGGAAAAAGAAAAAGGAAATAAGAATTGGCAGAGAGTCAATACTCCGCCCGGCTCTGCGGCGAAACAAAAAATTAAAGAGAGCGAGGAAGAGCTGTCATGGGAGGACTGTGCGGGTATTTTACGCCCTACACCACCAGCATGCGGACAGCCCACGGCCCACGCACCGAACGGCGGTATCAACATGTAGTCAGAGTCAAGGTCTAGGGGCCCATGTATCAGACCGCCCGGCCGGCCCGGCCGGCCCGGCCACTGGGCAGACGGGCACGCTCGGACGGGATGAAAATCTCCCCGGGGAAGCCGCGCGCCGCGACTCACTGCCAACCGCGCCCAAATCAACACGCCGTGCGCACCAAATAATAATTTGAAAAGACTGCGAGACCTGGCAAAAAAAGAAACAGAAGTAAAAGAAGGTTTGCGGTACTTACACTCCTTGTTGCGGTCCATGGCCTTGTGCAGCGGCGTCACGTCCACCTCGGCCTTGGGGCTTCGCTGCGGGCTGACCTCGGGGCTGGGCTCGGGGGCGCTGGGGCTGGGCCCGGGCAGGCTGGGCCCTGGGGGGTTGGGCCCGGCTGGGTTCGGCCGCGCCTCAGCCATGACGACCGGCCGCTCGGGCAGCCGCTCGGGCCTCTCCTTGAACCAGTCCGGGTAGATGGCCGCTAGCGTGTCCAGCAGGTCCTGGTCCAGAGGGATGCGCCACGACGCGGGGCCCTGGCCCTCCTCTACAGAGTGGCCCGACTCTGCAACAAGAAAACAGTGGCGTCAGACAGTGCAGTGGCGTAGCGGCGTAGCGGCGTAGCAGGGCAGCACGGAGCTGGGAGCGGAAAGCCGAGAGCGGACCGACACGACAGCGCGCGACAGCGCCAGGTGGCGGTGGCTCCCGGTCGGTCCCCGTGGTCCCCGTGGCCCCCGCGGCCCCCGCGGCCCCGAATGCAGTCCCGGGGCCGCTTTACGCTACGCTCAACTTCTTCACTATTTTTGGGGTACCTAACGAGGTGTGGAAAGACATTGGAGTAAATCGAATCAGCGGTCCCATGGCTCGAGTCGGGTCTGCATCGCATCGGTTGTAGGTCCGAAACCGTTGCCGCGGTGGCTGAGGAAATAGGGGAGATTCGCCAGGCTAGTTCGTATCTGACACACTGTGGTTCGATTGCCACTCGTGTAATACGTTGCCTCTCTGACATTGCGGTTCCAAGGAACTTCGGCCGTCTCGCTCCCCGGTCCCTCCAGCGATCCCTGCTTTCCGCGAGAGGCAGCAGGCTCATTCCGAGCACGGCTCTCATCGCTCTGTCTCTCTCGCACTCACGGGGCGTCCCGCAAGGGAGCGAGAGAGACAGCCCGGAATAAGCCTGTTGGCCGGCTGGCCCGGGCGACAAAGCGGCGAAGCGGCGAAGCGGCGCGTGGGTCGGGTCGCCCCCATCCGTGCCGGGCCGTGCCGGGCCGCCCACCGCCGGCACGACGAGCCGGCATCACGGGCCGGCCAAATCCTCGCAAAGCCGGGCAAAGCCTGGCAAACTCGCATCCAGGCCTGCCTTCCCCGCCGGGCACGCGGTGCACGCGGTGCACGCGGCGGCTTGAGGCGCCAACGACGACGACACCAGAGGGCACGGCACACGCCGGGCTGCGCCTGGCTGGCCGCGACCCCTGCAATCAGGGCTGCGCCTCGCACTAAGGCAGAAGGCAAGCAGGAGGCAGCTTGGAGCAGAAGCTGAGCGGAAGGTCTTTGTTTCGGGAGTCGCGGCTCGGTCCCGGCTCGGCTAGCTCGGCTAGCTCGGCTTGCGGCCCTCGCGGCCCGGTCCGCCCACGTGCCTTACCTCGCGCAAGGGCGTCGCCGCGTCGCCGGCGGATGGCCCGCCGGTTCCCTGACCACCTTAAACAACGCGAGGCAAGCGGCGCGCCGAATTATCCTCCAGCCTCCAGGCGGGCGAGTCGCCCTGCTCCATCGCACGGCGCACGGCGCACGGCACGCACCACGGGAGAGACAGAGCGACCAAAGCAACGTCAGCCTGCAGCGCTGGGCATGCCAATCTCTCCGTCTCTCTTTTTGCCGTGTGGGTCCTCGGCCCGTGCCGCCAGCGGCATGGCGGCGGCATGGCCTGGCCGGCTAGCCTGGCTGCAGCCCACTTGGCGCACAGCGTGGCACAGCGCACAGCGTGGCGTGGTGCAGCCGGCCGGCGTGGCGGCGTGGGTTGCGGGTTCAAATCGCCGCCGCGCCACTAAGCTGCCTTTTTATCGGAGAGGCGGGGCGCGAAGCACAGCGAAGCACAGCGAAGCGGGGGCACTTATCGGGTGCAGCGTGGCCGTGGAGCGAGCGTCTCGGACGCGGGGCGCGGGGCCAGCCGACGACGAGGCCGACGACGCCCTGCCTCGCGTCGCCTCGGCGCCACCTCCTCGCCCCGACCCGACATGGATAATGACCAGCCAGTGCGGCCTGCTGTCTGGCCTAACGCCCCGATTGGGAATCGGCTAGCCAGCCAGCGCGCCAGCTCCCACTCGCTTGTTACCGCGCCACCAAGGGCGCGGCGCAGTAGACCGGAATCACTCCACGAGTGCGAGAGACACGCGGGCGCCGAAAACGAATCTAGACATCCGTCTGCAGTGTCGCAGACCGCCGCATGGTGGTGGAGAGCCGGCGTCGCGGCGGACTGCCCCGAAGGCCCGAAGGCAAGCGGGAGGAGCGGCAGGTCCGCAGATCCGCGGCAGTGCATTGATGACGTGCTGCTGGGTAGGCGGACCGGGAAGGCCGCGGCGGGGCGGGCGGGGCGGGGCGGGGCGGGGCGCGGGCAGCGCGTTGTGCGGTGGGCGCGCCGCGCGCACAGGTCCTGGACCCGCCTGGCCTGGCCGTCCGCCGAATGTCCCCTCCGCCCCGCGCCGCCTCGCCTCGCGTTGCGGGGGGACTGGCTTCATTCACCGGCGTGCGGCCGGCGTGCGCGTGTTTGCGTCGCAGGGAAAGGCGTGGGCGAACCCGTGTGCTTCATTCATTACCATTCCAGCCGGCTTCGACTGGTCTGCTCACGCGCGTACACACACACACAAGAAGGCACATTGTTTGAGGACCCTCGTCTCCCTGCTGGTCGCCACGGCCACCGCGCTGCAGTTGGAGGTCCAATCAGTGGCCAGGGCGGCGGCAGGGCGGGCCACCCTCATCGAGACGACCCTGCTGCCTGCACCTCCGCCGGGCCAATTTGCAGCACCACTCCGCTGGCGTGGCGTGTGTCGCGCGCCGCACGGCGTCCCTCTCGGTGTCTGCCCGGTGTTTATATCTGACCGCGCCGCCTCGCCGCCACATTCTGTACCGCGAGGCGCGGGCGCGGCGCGGACTACACTATCGCGCGGCCCGGCGGATGGGCCTGTGGGGAGGGCCGGCCTCGAGTGCGGCCAGTTGGCCGTGCTGCACGCGGCAGCGGCAGCGACGTGCTGGAAGGGTTGCGAGGCGCTGGCGCTGGCCGCCAAGGGCGCCAAGGGTTTGCCGAGGTCCGTCGTTGTGGCGGTGCAAGCGGTGCGGGCGACAGCTCTCCTCGCCGTTGGGCCGCGTCGCGTCGCCGCGTGGGCAGGCCCGGCAGGCAGGCGTCAGGCCTATCATTTAATCCGCTAAAATCACGCCAAGAATAACACTTCCGCGGAGTCCGCCGCCGCCCGCCGCCCCGGGCCACTAAACGCCTCTCACGCGCCTCGCCTGCCGCCACTGCCGCCCGCCCCGCAACGAGCACCCGCCGCCATAAATTCACAGGCCGAGGCCGCACCGGACTACACCAGGCCGTCCCCGAGACGTCCCCCAGGGCGTCCCCGACCCCCGACGGCCCGGCCCCCGACGGCTCCCAACCCGGACGGCCCGGCCCCGCCCCGCCATGGGGGTGCAAGTGCTCCAAACGCGTCGAGACCGCGTCGAGACTGCGTCGAGGTTGACGTGCTGACGCGGGGTATTTATGGCACTAACGGACACCTGCCCGCGGCGTGGCCCCGCGCCTGGGAGCGCTGGGCGCCCCGCGGGGAGCCTCGGCCCAACCCGCACCCCGGCATCAACGGCCACCTTGTTCGCCACTTCTTCCGCAGAGCAAATTACACAGCCTGGCACCTTTTCGGAAAGGAATACCAGAATACCGGGCTGGGCCCTCGACTCGACGCGCTCCGCCAAGCTCCGCCGGCCAGCGAGCCGTCGGGGGCGGGGCAGGGCGGGGTCGGACGTTGGGGGTCCGCGGCACGGCCGGCACGCCATGCGGCACGCCATGCCGTCGTCGAGGGCCTCGGCCCATCAGCGCGTCGCGGCGAGCCAGGTGTGGCCAAGGCTGCACCGCATCGCCTGCATCTGCAAACACTCTCGGCCGGCCAGCCCCAGCCAGCCCCAGCCAGCCCGGCGGCGACGGCTCGGGGGCGCCGCGCAGACTTTACTGGCGCACTCGAGATCCGGTGCGTCAGAGCTTCAAAGAGGACCGCGGCGTCGTGCAGCGTGCACCACCCCGACGTCGGCCGAGCGGCCGCGGGGCCGTGCCGGAAGAGGCAAGGTAGGCGAGACAGGCAAGGCCACCGCCACTGGCCCTCGGCAGGTCCCACGGCCCCACGGCCCCGCACCAAGGACGCGTCAGTAGTCGCCCAATCCGCCGCGCCAACGGCCGCGATGGCCACGCCGCGCCGTGCGTTCACTACACCGTGACTCGCCGCTGCAGCCTTCAGTGCCACAAAGCCGGACAAACAGAAATGCCCCTCCCGCCACGCCCTGCCACGCGCAGCGCGTAACCCAGTTCCGTGGTGCATGGCGGAGCAGGGCGTTGCAGGGCGGCCCTTGAACTGCGCCCGATTGGCATGGGGGAGGAGGGGGGAGCGGTGTCCAACCAAATGGGAGCCGATAGGCCGCGGGCGTGTCCACAACACACACGCACACAAAACAAGCCAGGAGGAAGGGGCGGGGCGGGCGCGGCGCCTGCGACCAAGCCTGCGACTGCCTTGCCCCTCCTGGCTCGCGGAGCTGCCAACTCGCCGGGCATAACCGTGACACTGAATTCAAAAGCATTTGGAAATTAAAGAGACCGCGGCGCGGCGCCGCGGCGTCACCTGTTGGCCCTCGGACGGCTTCGGGCGGCTGCGGACGGCGCCGCGGAGGTGCGAGGATCCCGGCGAGGCTGTGGCGAGGGCTATTGTCGGCCGCGTCTCGTTGCAAGCGAAGGACAAGGCGGCGCCACACGCAAAAAGCAGCAAACTAAGTCGACGAATTTTGAAATGTGGGTGCATCGTGCAAATCGCGAAATTTCCCTCCCACGCGTCACTTTGCAGTACTTTTCCGCTTTGCACTGCTGGGGTCTGTCTAGCAGGGGGGGTTTCGAAGAATCGTTTTGGCACTCTGTCTCTCTCACTCTCCATCGGAATGTCATACGAGCGCGACAGAAGCGGAGCGACGAGACGATCCTCCGGAAGCAGCCGGCTGCCTACGCCTTGCCGCCTTGCCGCTGCAGCGTCGCGCGTCGCGTGCACCGCCCACGTGGTGGCGGCAGCGGCGGCGGCGCGTTGACATCATCGGCAGATACAGGATCTGGAGAGGCGGGGATTCAGCGCGGCTCGTCAGGAAGTCCGGCAAGGTGGAGAGGAGAGAGGGAGAGGGAGAGAGACAGAGAGAGGGGAAAGGGAGGTGGGGAGGGGAGCAAGCCGAGAGGCGCCTGCCAAAGACCAACCACGCCCTAGCCCAAATACGCGCGGGAGGGCTGGGGTCGCTCTAAAAGTGGCCTAAAGTCGGTCACGTACGTACGGG